CAAGGTTTGGAGCGGGAGTTGAACCAGCAAGCCAAGGATCACAGCCTAAAGTCCTGCGCTCTACCAAGTGAGCTATCGAAGGGTGCTGGGGTGACAAAGGCAGAAAACATAGTGGCTGAGACAACACACTATTCCAAAAGGACTATTCATCCCAATAGTCAATCATAAGCCCAGCCCTTCCTGCAGAAAAAAGCTCAGTAGTTTGGACCCAACAGGCATTGCCAGAGATCCTGAACTGATAATCAGGACTTTTAGGCTGGTTGAAAAAAATAACAACTTGTGGTTGGAACATAAAGGAGGAGAAAATGTTGTTTGTACATTTTGAGTGATGGAGTTGACAGATGAAGACAAGGTTTGGAGCGGGAGTTGAACCAGCAACCCAAGGATCACAGCCTAAAGTCCTGCGCTCTACCAACTGAGCTATCGAAGGGTGCTGGGGTGAACAAAGGCAGAAAACATAGTGGCTGAGACAACACACTATTCCAAAAGGACTATTCATCCCAATAGTCAATCATAAGCCCAGCCCTTCCTGCAGAAAAAAGCTCAGTAGTTTGGACCCAACAGGCATTGCCAGAGATCCTGAACTGATAATCAGGACTTTTAGGCTGGTTGAAAAAAATAACAACTTGTGGTTGGAACATAAAGGAGGAGAAAATGTTGTTTGTACATTTTGAGTTGACAGATGAAGACAAGGTTTGGAGCGGGAGTTGAACCAGCAACCCAAGGATCACAGCCTACAGTCCTATGCTCTACCAACTGAGCTATCGAAGGGTGCTGGGGGAACAAAGGCAGAAAACATAGTGGCTGAGACAACACACTATGCCAAAAGGACTATTCATCCCAATAGTCAATCATAAGCCCAGCCCTTCCTGCAGAAAAAAGCTCAGTAGTTTGGACCCAACAGGCATTGCCAGAGATCCTGAACTGATAATCAGGACTTTTAGGCTGGTTGAAAAAAATAACAACTTGTGGTTGGAACATAAAGGAGGAGAAAATGTTGTTTGTACAGTTTGAGTGATGGAGTTGACAGATAAAGACAAGGTTTGGAGCGGGAGTTGAACCAGCAACCCAAGGATCACAGCCTAAAGTCCTCCGCTCTACCAACTGAGCTATGGAAGGGTGCTGGGGTAACAAAGGCAGAAAACATAGTGGCTGAGACAACACACTATTCCAAAAGGACTATTCATCCCAATAGTCAATCATAAGCCCAGCCCTTCCTGCAGAAAAAAGCTCAGTAGTTTGGACCCAACAGGCATTGCCAGAGATCCTGAACTGATAATCAGGACTTTTAGGCTGGTTGAAAAAAATAACAACTTGTGGTTGGAACATAAAGGAGGAGAAAATGTTGTTTGTACAGTTTGAGTGATGGAGTTGACAGATGAAGACAAGGTTTGGAGCGGGAGTTGAACCAGCAACCCAAGGATCACAGCCTAAAGTCCTCCGCTCTACCAACTGAGCTATCGAAGGGTGATGGGGGAACAAAGGCAGAAAACATAGTGGCTGAGACAGCACACTATTCCAAAAGGACTATTCATCCCAATAGTCAATCATAAGCCCAGCCCTTCCTGCAGAAAAAAGCTCAGTAGTTTGGACCCAACAGGCATTGCCAGAGATCCTGAACTGATAATCAGGACTTTTAGGCTGGTTGAAAAAAATAACAACTTGTGGTTGGAACATAAAGGAGGAGAAAATGTTGTTTGTACATTTTGAGTGATGGAGTTGACAGATGAAGACAAGGTTTGGAGCGGGAGTTGAACCAGCAACCCAAGGATCACAGCCTAAAGTCCTCCGCTCTACCAACTGAGCTATGGAAGGGTGCTGGGGTAACAAAGGCAGAAAACATAGTGGCTGAGACAACACACTATTCCAAAAGGACTATTCATCCCAATAGTCAATCATAAGCCCAGCCCTTCCTGCAGAAAAAAGCTCAGTAGTTTGGACCCAACAGGCATTGCCAGAGATCCTGAACTGATAATCAGGACTTTTAGGCTGGTTGAAAAAAATAACAACTTGTGGTTGGAACATAAAGGAGGAGAAAATGTTGTTTGTACAGTTTGAGTGATGGAGTTGACAGATGAAGACAAGGTTTGGAGCGGGAGTTGAACCAGCAACCCAAGGATCACAGCCTAAAGTCCTCCGCTCTACCAACTGAGCTATCGAAGGGTGATGGGGGAACAAAGGCAGAAAACATAGTGGCTGAGACAGCACACTATTCCAAAAGGACTATTCATCCCAATAGTCAATCATAAGCCCAGCCCTTCCTGCAGAAAAAAGCTCAGTAGTTTGGACCCAACAGGCATTGCCAGAGATCCTGAACTGATAATCAGGACTTTTAGGCTGGTTGAAAAAAATAACAACTTGTGGTTGGAACATAAAGGAGGAGAAAATGTTGTTTGTACAGTTTGAGTGATGGAGTTGACAGATGAAGACAAGGTTTGGAGCGGGAGTTGAACCAGCAACCCAAGGATCACAGACTAAAGTCCTCCGCTCTACCAACTGAGCTATGGAAGGGTGCTGGGGGAACAAAGGCAGAAAACATAGTGGCTGAGACAACACACTATTCCAAAAGGACTATTCATCCCAATAGTCAATCATAAGCCCAGCCCTTCCTGCAGAAAAAAGCTCAGTAGTTTGGACCCAACAGGCATTGCCAGAGATCCTGAACTGATAATCAGGACTTTTAGGCTGGTTGAAAAAAATAACAACTTGTGGTTGGAACATAAAGGAGGAGAAAATGTTGTTTGTACATTTTGAGTGATGGAGTTGACAGATGAAGACAAGGTTTGGAGGGGGAGTTGAACCAGCAACCCAAGGATCACAGCCTAAAGTCCTGCGCTCTACCAACTGAGCTATGGAAGGGTGCTGGCGTAACAAAGGCAGAAAACATAGTGGCTGAGACAACACACTATTCCAAAAGGACTATTCATCCCAATAGTCAATCATAAGCCCAGCCCTTCCTGCAGAAAAAAGCTCAGTAGTTTGGACCCAACAGGCATTGCCAGAGATCCTGAACTGATAATCAGGACTTTTAGGCTGGTTGAAAAAAATAACAACTTGTGGTTGGAACATAAAGGAGGAGAAAATGTTGTTTGTACATTTTGAGTTGACAGATGAAGACAAGGTTTGGAGCGGGAGTTGAACCAGCAACCCAAGGATCACAGCCTACAGTCCTATGCTCTACCAACTGAGCTATCGAAGGGTGCTGGGGGAACAAAGGCAGAAAACATAGTGGCTGAGACAACACACTATGCCAAAAGGACTATTCATCCCAATAGTCAATCATAAGCCCAGCCCTTCCTGCAGAAAAAAGCTCAGTAGTTTGGACCCAACAGGCATTGCCAGAGATCCTGAACTGATAATCAGGACTTTTAGGCTGGTTGAAAAAAATAACAACTTGTGGTTGGAACATAAAGGAGGAGAAAATGTTGTTTGTACAGTTTGAGTGATGGAGTTGACAGATAAAGACAAGGTTTGGAGCAGGAGTTGAACCAGCAACCCAAGGATCACAGCCTAAAGTCCTCCGCTCTACCAACTGAGCTATGGAAGGGTGCTGGGGTAACAAAGGCAGAAAACATAGTGGCTGAGACAACACACTATTCCAAAAGAACTATTCATCCCAATAGTCAATCATGAGCCCAGCCCTTCCTGCAGAAAAAAGCTCAGTAGTTTGGACCCAACAGGCATTGCCAGAGATCCTGAACTGATAATCAGGACTTTTAGGCTGGTTGAAAAAAATAACAACTTGTGGTTGGAACATAAAGGAGGAGAAAATGTTGTTTGTACATTTTGAGTGATGGAGTTGACAGATGAAGACAAGGTTTGGAGCAGGAGTTGAAGCAGCAACCCAAGGATCATAGCCTAAAGTCCTGCGCTCTACCAACTGAGCTATCGAAGGGTGGTGGGGGAACAAAGGCAGAAAACATAGTGGCTGAGACAACACACTATTCCAAAAGGACTATTCATCCCAATAGTCAATCATAAGCCCAGCCCTTCCTGCAGAAAAAAGCTCAGTAGTTTGGACCCAACAGGCATTGCCAGAGATCCTGAACTGATAATCAGGACTTTTAGGCTGGTTGAAAAAAATAACAACTTGTGGTTGGAACATAAAGGAGGAGAAAATGTTGTTTGTACATTTTGAGTGATGGAGTTGACAGATGAAGACAAGGTTTGGAGCGGGAGTTGAACCAGCAACCAAAGGATCACAGCCTAAAGTCCTGCGCTCTACCAACTGAGCTATCGAAGGGTGCTGGGGGAACAAATGCAGAAAACATAGTGGCTGAGACAACACACTATTCCAAAAGGACTATTCATCCCAATAGTCAATCATAAGCCCAGCCCTTCCTGCAGAAAAAAGCTCAGTAGTTTGGACCCAACAGGCATTGCCAGAGATCCTGAACTGATAATCAGGACTTTTAGGCTGGTTGAAAAAAATAACAACTTGTGGTTGGAACATAAAGGAGGAGAAAATGTTGTTTGTACATTTTGAGTTGACAGATGAAGACAAGGTTTGGAGCGGGAGTTGAACCAGCAACCCAAGGATCACAGCCTACAGTCCTACGCTCTACCAACTGAGCTATCGAAGGGTGCTGGGGTAACAAAGGCAGAAAACATAGTGGCTGAGACGACACACTATTCCAAAAGGACTATTCATCCCAATAGTCAATCATAAGCCCAGCCCTTCCTGCAGAAAAAAGCTCAGTAGTTTGGACCCAACAGGCATTGCCAGAGATCCTGAACTGATAATCAGGACTTTTAGGCTGGTTGAAAAAAATAACAACTTGTGGTTGGAACATAAAGGAGGAGAAAATGTTGTTTGTACATTTTGAGTGATGGAGTTGACAGATGAAGACAAAGTTTGGAGCGGGAGTTGAACCAGCAACCCAAGGATCACAGCCTAAAGTCCTGCGCTCTACCAACTGAGCTATCGAAGGGTGCTGGGGTGACAAAGGCAGAAAACATAGTGGCTGAGACAACACACAATTCCAAAAGGACTATTCATCCCAATAGTCAATCATAAGCCCAGCCCTTCCTGCAGAAAAAAGCTCAGTAGTTTGGACCCAACAGGCATTGCCAGAGATCCTGAACTGATAATCAGGACTTTTAGGCTGGTTGAAAAAAATAACAACTTGTGGTTGGAACATTAAGGAGGAGAAAATGTTGTTTGTACAGTTTGAGTGATGGAGTTGACAGATGAAGACAAGGTTTGGAGGGGGAGTTGAACCAGCAACACAAGGATGACAGCGTATAGTCCGCCACTCTACGAACTGAGCTATCGAAGGGTGCTGGGGTGACAAAGGCAGAAAACATAGTGGCTGAGACAACACACTATTCCAAAAGGACTATTCAACCCAATAGTCAATCATAAGCCCAGCCCTTCCTGCAGAAAAAAGCTCAGTAGTTTGGACCCAACAGGCATTGCCAGAGATCCTGAACTGATAATCAGGACTTTAAGGCTGGTTGAAAAAAATTACAACTTGTGGTTGGAACATAAAGGAGGAGAAAATGTTGTTTGTACATTTTGAGTGATGGAGTTGACAGATGAAGACAAGGTTTGGAGCGGGAGTTGAAGCAGCAACCCAAGGATCACAGCCTAAAGTCCTCCGCTCTACCAACTGAGCTATCGAAGGGTGATGGGGGAACAAAGGCAGAAAACATAGTGGCTGAGACAGCACACTATTCCAAAAGGACTATTCATCCCAATAGTCAATCATAAGCCCAGCCCTTCCTGCAGAAAAAAGCTCAGTAGTTTGGACCCAACAGGCATTGCCAGAGATCCTGAACTGATAATCAGGACTTTTAGGCTGGTTGAAAAAAATAACAACTTGTGGTTGGAACATAAAGGAGGAGAAAATGTTGTTTGTACATTTTGAGTGATGGAGTTGACAGATGAAGACAAGGTTTGGAGCGGGAGTTGAACCAGCAACCCAAGGATCACAGACTAAAGTCCTCCGCTCTACCAACTGAGCTATGGAAGGGTGCTGGGGTAACAAAGGCAGAAAACATAGTGGCTGAGACAACACACTATTCCAAAAGGACTATTCATCCCAATAGTCAATCATAAGCCCAGCCCTTCCTGCAGAAAAAAGCTCAGTAGTTTGGACCCAACAGGCATTGCCAGAGATCCTGAACTGATAATCAGGACTTTTAGGCTGGTTGAAAAAAATAACAACTTGTGGTTGGAACATAAAGGAGGAGAAAATGTTGTTTGTACATTTTGAGTGATGGAGTTGACAGATGAAGACAAGGTTTGGAGGGGGAGTTGAACCAGCAACCCAAGGATCACAGCCTAAAGTCCTGCGCTCTACCAACTGAGCTATGGAAGGGTGCTGGCGTAACAAAGGCAGAAAACATAGTGGCTGAGACAACACACTATTCCAAAAGGACTATTCATCCCAATAGTCAATCATAAGCCCAGCCCTTCCTGCAGAAAAAAGCTCAGTAGTTTGGACCCAACAGGCATTGCCAGAGATCCTGAACTGATAATCAGGACTTTTAGGCTGGTTGAAAAAAATAACAACTTGTGGTTGGAACATAAAGGAGGAGAAAATGTTGTTTGTACATTTTGAGTTGACAGATGAAGACAAGGTTTGGAGCGGGAGTTGAACCAGCATCCCAAGGATCACAGCCTACAGTCCTATGCTCTACCAACTGAGCTATCGAAGGGTGCTGGGGGAACAAAGGCAGAAAACATAGTGGCTGAGACAACACACTATGCCAAAAGGACTATTCATCCCAATAGTCAATCATAAGCCCAGCCCTTCCTGCAGAAAAAAGCTCAGTAGTTTGGACCCAACAGGCATTGCCAGAGATCCTGAACTGATAATCAGGACTTTTAGGCTGGTTGAAAAAAATAACAACTTGTGGTTGGAACATAAAGGAGGAGAAAATGTTGTTTGTACAGTTTGAGTGATGGAGTTGACAGATAAAGACAAGGTTTGGAGCAGGAGTTGAACCAGCAACCCAAGGATCACAGCCTAAAGTCCTCCGCTCTACCAACTGAGCTATGGAAGGGTGCTGGGGTAACAAAGGCAGAAAACATAGTGGCTGAGACAACACACTATTCCAAAAGGAACTATTCATCCCAATTGTCAATCATGAGCCCAGCCCTTCCTGCAGAAAAAAGCTCAGTAGTTTGGACCCAACAGGCATTGCCAGAGATCCTGAACTGATAATCAGGACTTTTAGGCTGGTTGAAAAAAATAACAACTTGTGGTTGGAACATAAAGGAGGAGAAAATGTTGTTTGTACATTTTGAGTGATGGAGTTGACAGATGAAGACAAGGTTTGGAGCGGGAGTTGAACCAGCAACCAAAGGATCACAGCCTAAAGTCCTGCGCTCTACCAACTGAGCTATCGAAGGGTGCTGGGGGAACAAATGCAGAAAACATAGTGGCTGAGACAACACACTATTCCAAAAGGACTATTCATCCCAATAGTCAATCATAAGCCCAGCCCTTCCTGCAGAAAAAAGCTCAGTAGTTTGGACCCAACAGGCATTGCCAGAGATCCTGAACTGATAATCAGGACTTTTAGGCTGGTTGAAAAAAATAACAACTTGTGGTTGGAACATAAAGGAGGAGAAAATGTTGTTTGTACATTTTGAGTTGACAGATGAAGACAAGGTTTGGAGCGGGAGTTGAACCAGCAACCCAAGGATCACAGCCTACAGTCCTACGCTCTACCAACTGAGCTATCGAAGGGTGCTGGGGGAACAAAGGCAGAAAACATAGTGGCTGAGACGACACACTATTCCAAAAGGACTATTCATCCCAATAGTCAATCATAAGCCCAGCCCTTCCTGCAGAAAAAAGCTCAGTAGTTTGGACCCAACAGGCATTGCCAGAGATCCTGAACTGATAATCAGGACTTTTAGGCTGGTTGAAAAAAATAACAACTTGTGGTTGGAACATAAAGGAGGAGAAAATGTTGTTTGTATAGGTTGAGTGATGGAGTTGACAGATGAAGACAAGGTTTGGAGCGGGAGTTGAACCAGCAACCCAAGGATCACAGCCTAAAGTCCTCCGCTCTACCAACTGAGCTATGGAAGGGTGCTGGGGTAAGGCAGCAAACATAGTGGCTGAGACAACACACTATTCCAAAAGGACTATTCATCCCAATAGTCAATCATAAGCCCAGCCCTTCCTGCAGAAAAAAGCTCAGTAGTTTGGACCCAACAGGCATTGCCAGAGATCCTGAACTGATAATCAGGACTTTTAGGCTGGTTGAAAAAAATAACAACTTGTGGTTGGAACATAAAGGAGGAGAAAATGTTGTTTGTAGAGTTTGAGTGATGGAGTTGACAGATGAAGACAAGGTTTGGAGCGGGAGTTGAACCAGCAACCCAAGGATCACAGCCTACAGTCCTGCGCTCTACCAACTGAGCTATCGAAGGGTGCTGGGGGAACAAAGGCAGAAAACATAGTGGCTGAGACAACACACTATTCCAAAAGGACTATTCATCCCAATAGTCAATCATAAGCCCAGCCCTTCCTGCAGAAAAAAGCTCAGTAGTTTGGACCCAACAGGCATTGCCAGAGATCCTGAACTGATAATCAGGACTTTTAGGCTGGTTGAAAAAAATAACAACTTGTGGTTGGAACATAAAGGAGGAGAAAATGTTGTTTGTACAGTTTGAGTGATGGAGTTGACAGATGAAGACAAGGTTTGGAGCGGGAGTTGAACCAGCAACCCAAGGATCACAGCCTAAAGTCCTCCGCTCTACCAACTGAGCTATGGAAGGGTGCTGGGGTAACAAAGGCAGAAAACATAGTGGCTGAGACAACACACTATTCCAAAAGGACTATTCATCCCAATAGTCAATCATAAGCCCAGCCCTTCCTGCAGAAAAAAGCTCAGTAGTTTGGACCCAACAGGCATTGCCAGAGATCCTGAACTGATAATCAGGACTTTTAGGCTGGTTGAAAAAAATAACAACTTGTGGTTGGAACATAAAGGAGGAGAAAATGTTGTTTGTACATTTTGAGTGATGGAGTTGACAGATGAAGACAAGGTTTGGAGCGGGAGTTGAACCAGCAACCCAAGGATCACAGCCTACAGTCCTCCGCTCTACCAACTGAGCTATCGAAGGGTGCTGGGGGAACAAAGGCAGAAAACATAGTGGCTGAGACAACACACTATTCCAAAAGGACTATTCATCCCAATAGTCAATCATAAGCCCAGCCCTTCCTGCAGAAAAAAGCTCAGTAGTTTGGACCCAACAGGCATTGCCAGAGATCCTGAACTGATAATCAGGACTTTTAGGCTGGTTGAAAAAAATAACAACTTGTGGTTGGAACATAAAGGAGGAGAAAATGTTGTTTGTACAGTTTGAGTGATGGAGTTGACAGATGAAGACAAGGTTTGGAGCGGGAGTTGAACCAGCAACCCAAGGATCACAGCCTAAAGTCCTGCGCTCTACCAACTGAGCTATCGAAGGGTGCTGGGGTGACAAAGGCAGAAAACATAGTGGCTGAGACAACACACTATTCCAAAAGGACTATTCATCCCAATAGTCAATCATAAGCCCAGCCCTTCCTGCAGAAAAAAGCTCAGTAGTTTGGACCCAACAGGCATTGCCAGAGATCCTGAACTGATAATCAGGACTTTTAGGCTGGTTGAAAAAAATAACAACTTGTGGTTGGAACATAAAGGAGGAGAAAATGTTGTTTGTACAGTTTGAGTGATGGAGTTGACAGATGAAGACAAGGTTTGGAGCGGGAGTTGAACCAGCAACACAAGGATCACAGCCTAAAGTCGTGCGCTCTACCAACTGAGCTATGGCAGGGTGCTGGTGGAACAATGGCAGAAAACATAGTGGCTGAGACAACACACTATTCCAAAAGGACTATTCATCCCAATAGTCAATCATAAGCCCAGCCCTTCCTGCAGAAAAAAGCTCAGTAGTTTGGACCCAACAGGCATTGCCAGAGATCCTGAACTGATAATCAGGACTTTTAGGCTGGTTGAAAAAAATAACAACTTGTGGTTGGAACATAAAGGAGGAGAAAATGTTGTTTGTACATTTTGAGTTGACAGATGAAGACAAGGTTTGGAGCGGGAGTTGAACCAGCAACCCAAGGATCACAGCCTACAGTCCTACGCTCTACCAACTGAGCTATCGAAGGGTGCTGGGGGAACAAAGGCAGAAAACATAGTGGCTGAGACAACACACTATTCCAAAAGGACTATTCATCCCAATAGTCAATCATAAGCCCAGCCCTTCCTGCAGAAAAAAGCTCAGTAGTTTGGACCCAACAGGCATTGCCAGAGATCCTGAACTGATAATCAGGACTTTTAGGCTGGTTGAAAAAAATAACAACTTGTGGTTGGAACATAAAGGAGGAGAAAATGTTGTTTGTACATTTTGAGTGATGGAGTTGACAGATGAAGACAAGGTTTGGAGCGGGAGTTGAACCAGCAACCCAAGGATCACAGCCTAAAGTCCTGCGCTCTACCAACTGAGCTATCGAAGGGTGCTGGGGTGAACAAAGGCAGAAAACATAGTGGCTGAGACAACACACTATTCCAAAAGGACTATTCATCCCAATAGTCAATCATAAGCCCAGCCCTTCCTGCAGAAAAAAGCTCAGTAGTTTGGACCCAACAGGCATTGCCAGAGATCCTGAACTGATAATCAGGACTTTTAGGCTGGTTGAAAAAAATAACAACTTGTGGTTGGAACATAAAGGAGGAGAAAATGTTGTTTGTACATTTTGAGTGATGGAGTTGACAGATGAAGACAAGGTTTGGAGCGGGAGTTGAACCAGCAACCCAAGGATCACAGCCTACAGTCCTACGCTCTACCAACTGAGCTATCGAAGGGTGCTGGGGGAACAAAGGCAGAAAACATAGTGGCTGAGACAACACACTATTCCAAAAGGACTATTCATCCCAATAGTCAATCATAAGCCCAGCCCTTCCTGCAGAAAAAAGCTCAGTAGTTTGGACCCAACAGGCATTGCCAGAGATCCTGAACTGATAATCAGGACTTTTAGGCTGGTTGAAAAAAATAACAACTTGTGGTTGGAACATAAAGGAGGAGAAAATGTTGTTTGTACAGTTTGAGTGATGGAGTTGACAGATGAAGACAAGGTTTGGAGGGGGAGTTGAACCAGCAACACAAGGATCACAGCGTAAAGTCCCGCTCTACCAACTGAGCTATCGAAGGGTGCTGGGGAACAAAGGCAGAAAACATAGTGGCTGAGACAACACACTATTCCAAAAGGACTATTCAACCCAATAGTCAATCATAAGTCCAGCCCTTCCTGCAGAAAAAAGCTCAGTAGTTTGGACCCAACAGGCATTGCCAGAGATCCTGAACTGATAATCAGGACTTTTAGGCTGGTTGAAAAAAATAACAACTTGTGGTTGGAACATAAAGGAGGAGAAAATGTTGTTTGTACATTTTGAGTGATGGAGTTGACAGATGAAGACAAGGTTTGGAGCGGGAGTTGAAGCAGCAACCCAAGGATCACAGCCTAAAGTCCTGCGCTCTACCAACTGAGCTATCAAAGGGTGCTGGGGGAACAAAGGCAGAAAACATAGTGGCTGAGACAACACACTATTCCAAAAGGACTATTCATCCCAATAGTCAATCATAAGCCCAGCCCTTCCTGCAGAAAAAAGCTCAGTAGTTTGGACCCAACAGGCATTGCCAGAGATCCTGAACTGATAATCAGGACTTTTAGGCTGGTTGAAAAAAATAACAACTTGTGGTTGGAACATAAAGGAGGAGAAAATGTTGTTTGTACAGTTTGAGTGATGGAGTTGACAGATGAAGACAAGGTTTGGAGCGGGAGTTGAACCAGCAACCCAAGGATCACAGCCTAAAGTCCTCCGCTCTACCAACTGAGCTATGGAAGGGTGCTGGGGTAACAAAGGCAGAAAACATAGTGGCTGAGACAACACACTATTCCAAAAGGACTATTCATCCCAATAGTCAATCATAAGCCCAGCCCTTCCTGCAGAAAAAAGCTCAGTAGTTTGGACCCAACAGGCATTGCCAGAGATCCTGAACTGATAATCAGGACTTTTAGGCTGGTTGAAAAAAATAACAACTTGTGGTTGGAACATAAAGGAGGAGAAAATGTTGTTTGTACATTTTGAGTGATGGAGTTGACAGATGAAGACAAGGTTTGGAGCGGGAGTTGAACCAGCAACCCAAGGATCACAGCCTAAAGTCCTCCGCTCTACCAACTGAGCTATCGAAGGGTGCTGGGGGAACAAAGGCAGAAAACATAGTGGCTGAGACAACACACTATTCCAAAAGGACTATTCATCCCAATAGTCAATCATAAGCCCAGCCCTTCCTGCAGAAAAAAGCTCAGTAGTTTGGACCCAACAGGCATTGCCAGAGATCCTGAACTGATAATCAGGACTTTTAGGCTGGTTGAAAAAAATAACAACTTGTGGTTGGAACATAAAGGAGGAGAAAATGTTGTTTGTACAGTTTGAGTGATGGAGTTGACAGATGAAGACAAGGTTTGGAGCGGGAGTTGAACCAGCAACCCAAGGATCACAGCCTAAAGTCCTCCGCTCTACCAACTGAGCTATCGAAGGGTGCTGGGGGAACAAAGGCAGAAAACATAGTGGCTGAGACAACACACTATTCCAAAAGGACTATTCATCCCAATAGTCAATCATAAGCCCAGCCCTTCCTGCAGAAAAAAGCTCAGTAGTTTGGACCCAACAGGCATTGCCAGAGATCCTGAACTGATAATCAGGACTTTTAGGCTGGTTGAAAAAAATAACAACTTGTGGTTGGAACATAAAGGAGGAGAAAATGTTGTTTGTACATTTTGAGTGATGGAGTTGACAGATGAAGACAAGGTTTGGAGCGGGAGTTGAACCAGCAACCCAAGGATCACAGCCTAAAGTCCTGCGCTCTACCAACTGAGCTATCGAAGGGTGCTGGGGGAACAAAGGCAGAAAACATAGTGGCTGAGACAACACACTATTCCAAAAGGACTATTCATCCCAATAGTCAATCATAAGCCCAGCCCTTCCTGCAGAAAAAAGCTCAGTAGTTTGGACCCAACAGGCATTGCCAGAGATCCTGAACTGATAATCAGGACTTTTAGGCTGGTTGAAAAAAATAACAACTTGTGGTTGGAACATAAAGGAGGAGAAAATTTTGTTTGTACAGTTTGAGTGATGGAGTTGACAGATGAAGACAAGGTTTGGAGCGGGAGTTGAACCAGCAACCCAAGGATCACAGCCTAAAGTCCTGCGCTCTACCAACTGAGCTATCGAAGGGTGCTGGGGTGAACAAAGGCAGAAAACATAGTGGCTGAGACAACACACTATTCCAAAAGGACTATTCATCCCAATAGTCAATCATAAGCCCAGCCCTTCCTGTAGAAAAAAGCTCAGTAGTTTGGACCCAACAGGCATTGCCAGAGATCCTGAACTGATAATCAGGACTTTTAGGCTGGTTGAAAAAAATAACAACTTGTGGTTGGAACATAAAGGAGGAGAAAATGTTGTTTGTACATTTTGAGTGATGGAGTTGACAGATGAAGACAAGGTTTGGAGCGGGAGTTGAACCAGCAACCCAAGGATCACAGCCTACAGTCCTCGCTCTACCAACTGAGCTATCGAAGGGTGCTGGGGGAACAAAGGCAGAAAACATAGTGGCTGAGACAACACACTATTCCAAAAGGACTATTCATCCCAATAGTCAATCATAAGCCCAGCCCTTCCTGCAGAAAAAAGCTCAGTAGTTTGGACCCAACAGGCATTGCCAGAGATCCTGAACTGATAATCAGGACTTTTAGGCTGGTTGAAAAAAATAACAACTTGTGGTTGGAACATAAAGGAGGAGAAAATGTTGTTTGTACATTTTGAGTTGACAGATGAAGACAAGGTTTGGAGCGGGAGTTGAACCAGCAACCCAAGGATCACAGCCTAAAGTCCTCGCTCTACCAACTGAGCTATCGAAGGGTGCTGGGGGAACAAAGGCAGAAAACATAGTGGCTGAGACAACACACTATTCCAAAAGGACTATTCATCCCAATAGTCAATCATAAGCCCAGCCCTTCCTGCAGAAAAAAGCTCAGTAGTTTGGACCCAACAGGCATTGCCAGAGATCCTGAACTGATAATCAGGACTTTTAGGCTGGTTGAAAAAAATAACAACTTGTGGTTGGAACATAAAGGAGGAGAAAATGTTGTTTGTACATTTTGAGTGATGGAGTTGACAGATGAAGACAAGGTTTGGAGCGGGAGTTGAACCAGCAACCCAAGGATCACAGCCTACAGTCCTACGGTCTACCAACTGAGCTATCGAAGGGTGCTGGGGGAACAAAGGCAGAAAACATAGTGGCTGAGACAACACACTATTCCAAAAGGACTATTCATCCCAATAGTCAATCATACGCCCAGCCCTTCCTGCAGAAAAAAGCTCAGTAGTTTGGACCCAACAGGCATTGCCAGAGATCCTGAACTGATAATCAGGACTTTTAGGCTGGTTGAAAAAAATAACAACTTGTGGTTGGAACATAAAGGAGGAGAAAATGTTGTTTGTACAGTTTGAGTGATGGAGTTGACAGATGAAGACAAGGTTTGGAGCGGGAGTTGAACCAGCAACCCAAAGATCACAGCGTATAGTCCGCCACTCTACCAACTGAGCTATCGAAGGGTGCTGGGGTGACAAAGGCAGAAAACATAGTGGCTGAGACAACACACTATTCCAAAAGGACTATTCATCCCAATAGTCAATCATAAGCCCAGCCCTTCCTGCAGAAAAAAAGCTCAGTAGTTTGGACCCAACAGGCATTGCCAGAGATCCTGAACTGATAATCAGGACTTTTAGGCTGGTTGAAAAAAATAACAACTTGTGGTTGGAACATAAAGGAGGAGAAAATGTTGTTTGTACATTTTGAGTGATGGAGTTGACAGATGAAGACAAGGTTTGGAGCGGGAGTTGAACCAGCAACCCAAGGATCACAGCCTAAAGTCCTGCGCTCTACCAACTGAGCTATCGAAGGGTGCTGGGGGAACAAAGGCAGAAAACATAGTGGCTGAGACAACACACTATTCCAAAAGGACTATTCATCCCAATAGTCAATCATAAGCCCAGCCCTTCCTGCAGAAAAAAGCTCAGTAGTTTGGACCCAACAGGCATTGCCAGAGATCCTGAACTGATAATCAGGACTTTTAGGCTGGTTGAAAAAAATAACAACTTGTGGTTGGAACATAAAGGAGGAGAAAATGTTGTTTGTACAGTTTGAGTGATGGAGTTGACAGATGAAGACAAGGTTTGGAGCGGGAGTTGAACCAGCAACCCAAGGATCACAGCCTAAAGTCCTCCGCTCTACCAACTGAGCTATGGAAGGGTGCTGGGGTAACAAAGGCAGAAAACATAGTGGCTGAGACAACACACTATTCCAAAAGGACTATTCATCCCAATAGTCAATCATAAGCCCAGCCCTTCCTGCAGAAAAAAGCTCAGTAGTTTGGACCCAACAGGCATTGCCAGAGATCCTGAACTGATAATCAGGACTTTTAGGCTGGTTGAAAAAAATAACAACTTGTGGTTGGAACATAAAGGAGGAGAAAATGTTGTTTGTACATTTTGAGTGATGGAGTTGACAGATGAAGACAAGGTTTGGAGCGGGAGTTGAACCAGCAACCCAAGGATCACAGCCTAAAGTCCTGCGCTCTACCAACTGAGCTATCGAAGGGTGCTGGGGGAACAAAGGCAGAAAACATAGTGGCTGAGACAACACACTATTCCAAAAGGACTATTCATCCCAATAGTCAATCATAAGCCCAGCCCTTCCTGCAGAAAAAAGCTCAGTAGTTTGGACCCAACAGGCATTGCCAGAGATCCTGAACTGATAATCAGGACTTTTAGGCTGGTTGAAAAAAATAACAACTTGTGGTTGGAACATAAAGGAGGAGAAAATGTTGTTTGTACAGTTTGAGTGATGGAGTTGACAGATGAAGACAAGGTTTGGAGCGGGAGTTGAACCAGCAACCCAAGGATCACAGCCTAAAGTCCTCCGCTCTACCAACTGAGCTATCGAAGGGTGCTGGGGGAACAAAGGCAGAAAACATAGTGGCTGAGACAACACACTATTCCAAAAGGACTATTCATCCCAATAGTCAATCATAAGCCCAGCCCTTCCTGCAGAAAAAAGCTCAGTAGTTTGGACCCAACAGGCATTGCCAGAGATCCTGAACTGATAATCAGGACTTTTAGGCTGGTTGAAAAAAATAACAACTTGTGGTTGGAACATAAAGGAGGAGAAAATGTTGTTTGTACAGTTTGAGTGATGGAGTTGACAGATGAAGACAAGGTTTGGAGCGGGAGTTGAACCAGCAACCCAAGGATCACAGCCTAAAGTCCTGCGCTCTACCAACTGAGCTATCGAAGGGTGCTGGGGGAACAAAGGCAGAAAACATAGTGGCTGAGACAACACACTATTCCAAAAGGACTATTCATCCCAATAGTCAATCATAAGCCCAGCCCTTCCTGCAGAAAAAAGCTCAGTAGTTTGGACCCAACAGGCATTGCCAGAGATCCTGAACTGATAATCAGGACTTTTAGGCTGGTTGAAAAAAATAACAACTTGTGGTTGGAACATAAAGGAGGAGAAAATGTTGTTTGTACATTTTGAGTGATGGAGTTGACAGATGAAGACAAGGTTTGGAGCGGGAGTTGAACCAGCAACCCAAGGATCACAGCCTAAAGTCCTGCGCTCTACCAACTGAGCTATCGAAGGGTGCTGGGGGAACAAAGGCAGAAAACATAGTGGCTGAGACAACACACTATTCCAAAAGGACTATTCATCCCAATAGTCAATCATAAGCCCAGCCCTTCCTGCAGAAAAAAGCTCAGTAGTTTGGACCCAACAGGCATTGCCAGAGATCCTGAACTGATAATCAGGACTTTTAGGCTGGTTGAAAAAAATAACAACTTGTGGTTGGAACATAAAGGAGGAGAAAATGTTGTTTGTACAGTTTGAGTGATGGAGTTGACAGATGAAGACAAGGTTTGGAGCGGGAGTTGAACCAGCAACCCAAGGATCACAGCCTAAAGTCCTGCGCTCTACCAACTGAGCTATCGAAGGGTGCTGGGGTGACAAAGGCAGAAAACATAGTGGCTGAGACAACACACTATTCCAAAAGGACTATTCATCCCAATAGTCAATCATAAGCCCAGCCCTTCCTGCAGAAAAAAGCTCAGTAGTTTGGACCCAACAGGCATTGCCAGAGATCCTGAACTGATAATCAGGACTTTTAGGCTGGTTGAAAAAAATAACAACTTGTGGTTGGAACATAAAGGAGGAGAAAATGTTGTTTGTACATTTTGAGTGATGGAGTTGACAGATGAAGACAAGGTTTGGAGCGGGAGTTGAACCAGCAACCCAAGGATCACAGCCTAAAGTCCTCCGCTCTACCAACTGAGCTATCGAAGGGTGCTGGGTGAACAAAGGCAGAAAACATAGTGGCTGAGACAACACACTATTCCAAAAGGACTATTCATCCCAATAGTCAATCATAAGCCCAGCCCTTCCTGCAGAAAAAAGCTCAGTAGTTTGGACCCAACAGGCATTGCCAGAGATCCTGAACTGATAATCAGGACTTTTAGGCTGGTTGAAAAAAATAACAACTTGTGGTTGGAACATAAAGGAGGAGAAAATGTTGTTTGTACAGTTTGAGTGATGGAGTTGACAGATGAAGACAAGGTTTGGAGCGGGAGTTGAACCAGCAACCCAAGGATCACAGCCTAAAGTCCTCCGCTCTACCAACTGAGCTATGGAAGGGTGCTGGGGTAACAAAGGCAGAAAACATAGTGGCTGAGACAACACACTATTCCAAAAGGACTATTCATCCCAATAGTCAATCATAAGCCCAGCCCTTCCTGCAGAAAAAAGCTCAGTAGTTTGGACCCAACAGGCATTGCCAGAGATCCTGAACTGATAATCAGGACTTTTAGGCTGGTTGAAAAAAATAACAACTTGTGGTTGGAACATAAAGGAGGAGAAAATGTTGTTTGTACAGTTTGAGTTGACAGATGAAGACAAGGTTTGGAGCGGGAGTTGAACCAGCAACCCAAGGATCACAGCCTAAAGTCCTGCGCTCTACCAACTGAGCTATCGAAGGGTGCTGGGGGAACAAAGGCAGAAAACATAGTGGCTGAGACAACACACTATTCCAAAAGGACTATTCATCCCAATAGTCAATCATAAGCCCAGCCCTTCCTGCAGAAAAAAGCTCAGTAGTTTGGACCCAACAGGCATTGCCAGAGATCCTGAACTGATAATCAGGACTTTTAGGCTGGTTGAAAAAAATAACAACTTGTGGTTGGAACATAAAGGAGGAGAAAATGTTGTTTGTACAGTTTGAGTGATGGAGTTGACAGATGAAGACAAGGTTTGGAGCGGGAGTTGAACCAGCAACCCAAGGATCACAACCTAAAGTCCTGCGCTGTACCAACTGAGCTATCGAAGGGTGCTGGGGGAACAAAGGCAGAAAACATAGTGGCTGAGACAACACACTATTCCAAAAGGACTATTCATCCCAATAGTCAATCATAAGCCCAGCCCTTCCTGCAGAAAAAAGCTCAGTAGTTTGGACCCAACAGGCATTGCCAGAGATCCTGAACTGATAATCAGGACTTTTAGGCTGGTTGAAAAAAATAACAACTTGTGGTTGGAACATAAAGGAGGAGAAAATGTTGTTTGTACAGTTTGAGTGATGGAGTTGACAGATGAAGACAAGGTTTGGAGCGGGAGTTGAACCAGCAACCCAAGGATCACAGCCTAAAGTCCTCCGCTCTACCAACTGAGCTATGGAAGGGTGCAGGGGTAACAAAGGCAGAAAACATAGTGGCTGAGACAACACACTATTCCAAAAGGACTATTCATCCCAATAGTCAATCATAAGCCCAGCCCTTCCTGCAGAAAAAAGCTCAGTAGTTTGGACCCAACAGGCATTGCCAGAGATCCTGAACTGATAATCAGGACTTTTAGGCTGGTTGAAAAAAATAACAACTTGTGGTTGGAACATAAAGGAGGAGAAAATGTTGTTTGTACATTTTGAGTGATGGAGTTGACAGATGAAGACAAGGTTTGGAGCGGGAGTTGAACCAGCAACCCAAGGATCACAGCCTAAAGTCCTGCGCTCTACCAACTGAGCTATCGAAGGGTGCTGGGGTAACAAAGGCAGAAAACATAGTGGCTGAGACAACACACTATTCCAAAAGGACTATTCATCCCAATAGTCAATCATAAGCCCAGCCCTTCCTGCAGAAAAAAGCTCAGTAGTTTGGACCCAACAGGCATTGCCAGAGATCCTGAACTGATAATCAGGACTTTTAGGCTGGTTGAAAAAAATAACAACTTGTGGTTGGAACATAAAGGAGGAGAAAATGTTGTTTGTACAGTTTGAGTGATGGAGTTGACAGATGAAGACAAGGTTTGGAGCGGGAGTTGAACCAGCAACCCAAGGATCACAGCCTACAGTCCTCCGCTCTACCAACTGAGCTATCGAAGGGTGCTGGGGGAACAAAGGCAGAAAACATAGTGGCTGAGACAACACACTATGCCAAAAGGACTATTCATCCCAATAGTCAATCATAAGCCCAGCCCTTCCTGCAGAAAAAAGCTCAGTAGTTTGGACCCAACAGGCATTGCCAGAGATCCTGAACTGATAATCAGGACTTTTAGGCTGGTTGAAAAAAATAACAACTTGTGGTTGGAACATAAAGGAGGAGAAAATGTTGTTTGTACAGTTTGAGTGATGGAGTTGACAGATGAAGACACGGTTTGGAGCGGGAGTTGAACCAGCAACCCAAGGATCACAGCCTAAAGTCCTGCACTCTACCAACTGAGCTATCGAAGGGTGCTGGGGGAACAAAGCAAGAAAACATAGTGGCTGAGACAACACACTAATCCAAAAGGACTATTCATCCCAATAGTCAATCATAAGCCCAGCCCTTCCTGCAGAAAAAAGCTCAGTAGTTTGGACCCAACAGGCATTGCCAGAGATCCTGAACTGATAATCAGGACTTTTAGGCTGGTTGAAAAAAATAACAACTTGTGGTTGGAACATAAAGGAGGAGAAAATGTTGTTTGTACAGTCTGAGTGATGGAGTTCACAGATGAAGACAAGGTTTGGAGCGGGAGTTGAACCAGCAACCCAAGGATCACAGCCTAAAGTCCTGCGCTCTACGAACTGAGCTATCGAAAGGTGCTGGGGGAACAAAGGCAGAAAACATAGTGGCTGAGACAACACACTATTCCAAAAGGACTATTCATCCCAATAGTCAATCATAAGCCCAGCCCTTCCTGCAGAAAAAAGCTCAGTAGTTTGGACCCAACAGGCATTGCCAGAGATCCTGAACTGATAATCAGGACTTTTAGGCTGGTTGAAAAAAATAACAACTTGTGGTTGGAACATAAAGGAGGAGAAAATGTTGTTTGTACAGTTTGAGTGATGGAGTTGACAGATGAAGACAAGGTTTGGAGCGGGAGTTGAACCAGCAACCCAAGGATCACAGCCTACAGTCCTACGCTCTACCAACTGAGCTATGGAAGGGTGCTGGGGGAACAAAGGCAGAAAACATAGTGGCTGAGACAACACACTATTCCAAAAGGACTATTCATCCCAATAGTCAATCATAAGCCCAGCCCTTCCTGCAGAAAAAAGCTCAGTAGTTTGGACCCAACAGGCATTGCCAGAGATCCTGAACTGATAATCAGGACTTTTAGGCTGGTTGAAAAAAATAACAACTTGTGGTTGGAACATAAAGGAGGAGAAAATGTTGTTTGTACATTTTGAGTGATGGAGTTGACAGATGAAGACAAGGTTTGGAGCGGGAGTTGAACCAGCAACCCAAGGATCACAGCCTAAAGTGCTCCGCTCTACCAACTGAGCTATCGAAGGGTGCTGGGTGAACAAAGGCAGAAAACATAGTGGCTGAGACAACACACTATTCCAAAAGGACTATTCATCCCAATAGTCAATCATAAGCCCAGCCCTTCCTGCAGAAAAAAGCTCAGTAGTTTGGACCCAACAGGCATTGCCAGAGATCCTGAACTGATAATCAGGACTTTTAGGCTGGTTGAAAAAAATAACAACTTGTGGTTGGAACATAAAGGAGGAGAAAATGTTGTTTGTACATTTGAGTGATGGAGTTGACAGATGAAGACAAGGTTTGGAGCGGGAGTTGAACCAGCAACCCAAGGATCACAGCCTAAAGTCCTGCGCTCTACCAACTGAGCTATCGAAGGGTGCTGGGGGAACAAAGGCAGAAAACATAGTGGCTGAGACAACACACTATTCCAAAAGGACTATTCATCCCAATAGTCAATCATAAGCCCAGCCCTTCCTGCAGAAAAAAGCTCAGTAGTTTGGACCCAACAGGCATTGCCAGAGATCCTGAACTGATAATCAGGACTTTTAGGCTGGTTGAAAAAAATAACAACTTGTGGTTGGAACATAAAGGAGGAGAAAATGTTGTTTGTACATTTGAGTGATGGAGTTGACAGATGAAGACAAGGTTTGGAGCGGGAGTTGAACCAGCAACCCAAGGATCACAGCCTAAAGTCCTGCGCTCTACCAACTGAGCTATCGAAGGGTGCTGGGGGAACAAAGGCAGAAAACATAGTGGCTGAGACAACACACTATTCCAAAAGGACTATTCATCCCAATAGTCAATCATAAGCCCAGCCCTTCCTGCAGAAAAAAGCTCAGTAGTTTGGACCCAACAGGCATTGCCAGAGATCCTGAACTGATAATCAGGACTTTTAGGCTGGTTGAAAAAAATAACAACTTGTGGTTGGAACATAAAGGAGGAGAAAATGTTGTTTGTACAGTTTGAGTGATGGAGTTGACAGATGAAGACAAGGTTTGGACCGGGAGTTGAACCAGCAACCGAAGGATCACAGCCTAAAGTCCTGCGCTCTACCAACTTAGCTATCGAAGGGTGCAGGGGGAACAAAGGCAGAAAACATAGTGGCTGAGACAACACACTATTCCAAAAGGACTATTCATCCCAATAGTCAATCATAAGCCCAGCCCTTCCTGCAGAAAAAAGCTCAGTAGTTTGGACCCAACAGGCATTGCCAGAGATCCTGAACTGATAATCAGGACTTTTAGGCTGGTTGAAAAAAATAACAACTTGTGGTTGGAACATAAAGGAGGAGAAAATGTTGTTTGTACAGTTTGAGTGATGGAGTTGACAGATGAAGACAAGGTTTGGAGGGGGAGTTGAACAAGCAACCCAAGGATCACAGCGTATAGTCCGCCACTCTACCAACTGAGCTATCGAAGGGTGCTGGGGTGACAAAGGCAGAAAACATAGTGGCTGAGACAACACACTATTCCAAAAGGACTATTCATCCCAATAGTCAATCATAAGCCCAGCCCTTCCTGCAGAAAAAAGCTCAGTAGTTTGGACCCAACAGGCATTGCCAGAGATCCTGAACTGATAATCAGGACTTTTAGGCTGGTTGAAAAAAATAACAACTTGTGGTTGGAACATAAAGGAGGAGAAAATGTTGTTTGTACAGTTTGAGTGATGGAGTTGACAGATGAAGACAAGGTTTGGAGCAGGAGTTGAACCAGCAACCCAAGGATCACGGCCTAAAGTCCTCCGCTCTACCAACTGAGCTATCGAAGGGTGCTGGGGGAACAAAGGCAGAAAACATAGTGGCTGAGACAACACACTATTCCAAAAGGACTATTCATCCCAATAGTCAATCATAAGCCCAGCCCTTCCTGCAGAAAAAAGCTCAGTAGTTTGGACCCAACAGGCATTGCCAGAGATCCTGAACTGATAATCAGGACTTTTAGGCTGGTTGAAAAAAAATAACAACTTGTGGTTGGAACATTAAGGAGGAGAAAATGTTGTTTGTACAGTTTGAGTGATGGAGTTGACAGATGAAGACAAGGTTTGGAGCGGGAGTTGAACCAGCAACCCAAGGTTCACAGGCTAAAGTCCTCCGCTCTACCAACTGAGCTATCGAAGGGTGCTGGGGGAATAAAGGTAGAAAACATAGTGGCTGAGACAACACACTATTCCAAAAGGACTATTCATCCCAATAGTCAATCATAAGCCCAGCCCTTCCTGCAGAAAAAAGCTCAGTAGTTTGGACCCAACAGGCATTGCCAGAGATCCTGAACTGATAATCAGGACTTTTAGGCTGGTTGAAAAAAATAACAACTTGTGGGTAGAACATTAACATCCTTGACTATGGCATTTTGATCAGACAATACTATGGAATGTTATTTCATACTAAAATCTGATTTTTTTTTCACACTAAAATCTGAAATTTTGGTCATACTATACTATGACGTTTTTTTTTCTTCATACTAAAAAAGGATTTTTTTTCTGCTAAAATATGCCTTTTTTAACATCCTTGACTATGGCATTTTGATCAGACAATACCTTGGAATGTTATTTCATCCTAAAATCTGAATTTTTTTTTCACCATAAAATCTGAAATTTTGATCATACTATACTATGACGTTTTTTTTTTTTTTTTTTTTGACTGATATATGATTTTTTTTATTTTCTGCTAAAATATGCCTTTTTTAACATCCTTGACTATGGCATTTTGATCAGACAATACTATGGAATGTTATTTCATCCTATAATCTGAATTTTTTTTTTCACCCTAAAATCTGAAATTTTGGTCATACTATACTATGACGTTTTTTTTTTTTTCGGACTAAAATATAATTTTTTTTTTCTGCTAAAATATGATATTTTTAACATCCTTGACTATGGCATTTTGATCAGACAATACTATGGAATGTTATTTCATCCTAAAATCGAAATATTTTTTTTTACCCTAAAATCTGTAATTTTGGTCATACTATACTATGACGTTTTTTTTCTTCATACTAAAATGTGATTTTTTTTCTGCTAAAATATGCCTTTTTTAACATCCTTGACTATGGCATTTTGATCAGACAATACTTTGGAATGTAATTTCATCCTAAAATCTGAATATTTTTTTTTTACCCTAAAATCTGAAATTTTGGTCATAGTATACTATGACTTTTTTTTTTTTTTTAAATGAAATATGATTTTTTTTTCTGCTAAAATATGAATTTTTTAACATCCTTGACTATGGCATTTTGATCAGACAATACTATGGAATGTTATTTCATCCTAAAATCTGATTTTTTTTTTTTCACACTAAAATCTGAAATTTTGGTCATTTTAACTATGACGTTTTTTTTTTTTAGGCTGAAATATGATTTTTTTTTCTACTAAAATATGCCTTTTTTAACATCCTTGACTATGGCATTTTGATCAGACAATACTATGGAATGTTATTTCATCCTAAAATCTGAATTTTTTTTTTCACCCTAAAATCTGAAATTTTGGTCATACTATACTATGACATTTTTTTATTCGGACTAAAATATGATTCTTTTTTTTCTGCTAAAATATAAATTTTTTAACATCCTTGACTATGGCATTTTGATCAGACAATACTTTGGAATGTAATTTCATCCTAAAATCTAAATTTTTTTTTTTTCACCCTAAAATCTGAAATTTTGGTCATACTATACCATGACGTTTTTTTTTTTTCTTCTCACTAAAAAAGGATTTTTTTTTTCTAATTAAAATATGATTCTTTTTTTCCCCGCTAAAAATCACAGTGGACTCACTGGGAAGATAAACAAGGACACTCAGACATACATACATACAACACAATGAACCCATAAAGAAACAGGGGAAGACAAGGACTATATACACACAGGGAAACAAGCAATGAGAGGCAGGTGAGACACTAAAACACAGGTGCAGACAATTACAGAGGAGGGAAAACTGAGGAAGTAAAACAAGACTAGAAACACAGGGAATAAACTACTACAAAATAAAACAGGAACACTGAAAACTGAAAAGAATAAAACACTGAGAACATATGGGAAATGGGGTCAGACACAAACTGAAAACACTGTGATATTTCAACATAATATACTATGATATTTTTATCACACTTGAACAAAAAGCTGAAACTTGCAAGATAATGCTAAAAAAAACTTCTGGTTCTGGTGCCACACATATTCTGGATTTTACTGTGTCTGCCTGAATTCACTGCTTTAATGGCTGTTTCCTGATATGTTAGGACGCCATAACCCTGCCACCATTTACAAGCAGTACACACACACTGCAGACACACAGCACATTCATTTCCAGCATATTCCAAAGATACTATGCAGCAGTGAAGAAAAAACAACACCGTCAACCCATTTTTATTATTTTTTCCTACTGTTTTAATGATTTAATAACAAAATAAAGATACAATTCAATGTTTTAGTTTCTTTTTCTTTCTATCTGATCAATAGGAGAGAAAAAAGGTTTCTTTATGCCATCTCTTCGTTACAGGAGTGAGAGGAAAGCCTTTAGCAAATGAAAAACAGTTTCTTTGGATAATTTTTGGACCTCTTTTTCCTTTTTTGACTGTGGAAACAGTTGCAACTGTTAAGGAAGCATATTTAACACAGGGGTGAAAACAATTTGGATCCATCCAAGAAAATAAGTCACCTTTTTCTTTTTTTTTGCCCCTTGGGGCTTCTGTACCAATCATGTCAACATTCACACCCCACCAGCATGGCTATTAGGGGCGATGCTCTGATTCCCTGGACCTGACACCAATTAATACTTGGAAAACATACTAATGCAAATGTTCTCTGACAACACTGATTTATTCTATACTTATCCATAATGTTATTGTAGTATGATATTTGTACTAAATTATCTAAGTTAGGTTTATATCTTCCTGATATTTATACATATTTCATCAGTGACATTGAGCCTGGTATTTTATGTTCATTCAGATCTGCTCTCACTGCTTTCCTCAAACTACTTTGTACGTCACTCTGTTTTAGTTTGATGTCTGACATTGTCCTCTGAAAATATTTCACCAAAGCAAGGACTTCCATGTGGTTTTATCTTATTTGAAAGTTATCTATTGGAGAAGTAAAAGCCATATAAAAATTATTGTGTTTTGAGAGAAAAGGAACATTAAATTAAATCAAACATTCATGAAGTTTAGAAGGAAAATGTTTGCAGGTTTGAGTAACCGGTGCTTTAAGTGTGAAGCACTTTGAATTATTTCTCAAGCTTTTGCTCAAATTATCAAATATTTGATCAGAAATCAAATAATTCAGACACATGCACAACATTTGAAACACAAGCACCACTGGTACTAAGGTTTTAGGATGGTCCGGTTAAATCACGGGGTCGTGGCTACTTGACTTTGTTCTCTCCAGGTCCTCTGCAATTATCTTCTGCAGTTGCACTCGAGTCTCAGTCATGCTGAACACTCCTCTCAGGTAGTCCAGGTCTTTCACAGTGGCTGCCACTCTGTGTCCTACACCTGACAGCTCTGCCGACAGCACTGGAATCATAAAGAAGGGGAAAAGCATTTGCGGCTTCAATATATTTAAGATAAGTATTTAACACAGTCAACAACACCAGACCTAACACATTCACACTGCTGGATACGCCTCAGAGAGCAACTTGAGTTTCAGTTTCTTGCCGAAGGTCACGTAAAGTTTGAAAACTGGGGATTAAACTGCCAACCTTTAAGAGAAAAAAGATTAAATTCCTCTGACCAGTTCTTCACATGTGGCTCAACCTCTAGCCTCTCATATTATAGAACAAAAAACATGTCTGGGGATAATATACACTGGTTTCCCTTCATAAAATTATTATTATTGTTGTTGTTTCGGTTTCAAGATAAATTCTTTTATATCTTAGTGGAAATACTATTCTAAAATATGCAGGACCAGGTCATGTCATAGAGCTTTTTTCACAATTTTACAGGGTAAAACAACAAAAATGTGTATATTTAAAGATACTGCATCTGTGTCAAGGCAGCTGTTTTGGAGCTCTTATGGACACAGTGACATTTTCCATAAGAGATATTCTCTTATTAGTACCTGTGTTTTCTTTCTTTAGCTAACAAAACTTCTTCCTCTGCTTCTTCACCTTCTCTGACGTGTATCCAAGTTCACAGGTCAGGAGTAAAACTTCGCTCCTCTCCTCCTCAGCCTCCTCTTCACTGTCTCTGACTTTTCTCTCTCTAACCTGACCCTCACCATGGTCCCCAGGTCGTGAGCCATGTCTCTCAGCATCTTCAGTTCACTCCAGATAGACTACTCAGACACCTGAGCTGACCCTGTGGACAAGAAGAGTAGCAGCACTGTATGGGAAATCTCAATTCTAGACGACTCACTTGTCTTTTTTACAATAAGTATGACTTAAGGAGAATGTAGTAGGAGTGAAGGAGATAATATACTTTTATGTTTACAAAGTCCCTCACAAAACACAGGTGAGTTTGAGCTGACTCATCATCATCAGGTTTCTTGAAGCTAGGATTCTTGAACCTGTGCTCAACTAACCAACTTAATTTTCTGCAACTTTTTCTCAATTTTTTAATATTCTTATAATTTGTCAACTGCTGATGGATATTTTGGCTGGGAGACGAGTTTATTCAAGAGAAGGGCTTCTTTCATTGAGATGGAGCAAATCTCGCCAACGACATCCAAGTCCAGCGGACATCTGGAGGTGTCCTCATGGGAAACGTCAGCTTTGTGTCCATCGAAATCAACAAGCTGGAGATATTGGTATAGACTGAGAAAGCTTACTGTGAGTGTGGTCTCCTGTGTATTAGTGAAACCTAGTTGAATCAAAAACAACCTGGATTTAAGTGTGGACCTGCCTGGCTGAGATGTTAAAGCTAGTGGCAAGACGAAAGGAGGAGGCCTGGCTTTATTTGTCAACCAGAGATGGTGTAACTCTTCACACATAACTGTCAAGGAGAGGATGTGTTTTCCAGATATTGAACTGTTGGCAGTTGCCCTTCAGTCGTTGCCTTGGGTGGGATGTATACATGTATTGTTATATGACTGAACTCCCTTGAAACATAATATGGCCACAGTAACATGTGACGTTCTCCATAATACTGATGCAAGGATACAGACTCAACATCCTGAGGCACTTGTAATAACATCAGAAGACATCAACCATGCTACCCTCTCCTCTCACCTGACTGGATTCACACAGTTTGTTAACTGTCCAACCAGAGAAAACTAAACCCTCGATCTGCCAAATGACAACGAGACAGATGCACCCTGAGGAAGGTAGGTTCTAAAAACATGGATCATCCACTTTATAACACATCCATTTTTATTTTTATTTTTTGGATTGATTGTATTGATTATTCAATCAAATTTACATACAGTACAATTTTAAACAAAGAATTCCCTATTTTTTTGGAGATCAAAAAGGAATAGGTTGAAGCTATTATGTAACGACCCTCATTCCTTCCTATTCGTTTATCCTTTACATGTCTTTTGCCAAAAAATAACCAAAGCTCCAAAGTCTAGCATGACTATATAACTAATCATTAATACTAAAACAAAGACCTTCTACATACATATATACATCCATACCTTAATACACACATATACACACAAATATAGACTTTATATATATACCAAGAATACTTCAAATTTCTTATGTGTACCATATACAGTATAATAAGTGTGGGAAAACAAAAATCAATTTTTTTTTTTTTTTTCAATCATACTCTGCTTTGATTTGCTTTAAAACTGTGCTATAGTTTTGCTTTGTTTAAGCTCATGGGGCTAAAAAATGAGGTGGATGGCTCTTCTCGCTTCACTGCAGGAGATCTTCAGTACCCGTAGCCATCAGACTTTTTAATTCTTCTATAAATAGTAGATAATATGAGACTTCAGACAAATGAATTTACCTTTAGGGATAAATAAAGTTATTGTATTGTCAGACTTTGGCACTAACCTCCTGTATGTCAGGAAAGAACTAAGTGTTAGCTGTGTTTTTTATTAGTCGTAAAACTAAGAGTTAAACTGGCAAGAGTTTGGGGGTACTATTTATTTATTCATTTTAAAACCTTCTCATCATGTAAACAAAAAGAGTAAATTTGAACATTTTCAACTGAAAAGTAAAAAAATATTCAAAGTTACCTGACTGCACTTCTCAATAATCACACCAGCTTCTTAATAAAGCAAACAGCATACCAGAGCACTCAACTGTAACTTATTTGTCCTCTCCTTTTGAAAATAGCTGATAACACGCTCTTTGTTAAGGTGTGACTGAATATTTGATGCCGTTTGGTATTTCAAAGTCGCCTTACATGAACCGCCACCTTTTTCATTATCACTTACGACACCACATTAGTCACATTGTTCAAAAAAAAAAAAACTCTTGAGCTTTTATTAAAGACTTGATTATGTCTGCCAGGTAACACGGTGAAGACAAATGAGTTAAAGCATGTCAGAGAAAACACTTTTTTCAACTTTAATCACATGAATACACTTAATGTGCTTCATGATGTGTGTAAGAGTGAATAGAAAATCAGCTTCACCGTCAGTTTTATTGCTGTTTTTAGCAAGAGACACTAACAGAGACATTTGATTGATCAGAATTAAGGTACAAATTGTTGAGGAGGGTTTAAAATTGTGAAAAAGTTACAAAAAAGTAATTCTGCATTTTTAAATCAAACTTAAATGGCATCCTCACAATGAACAATATGAACATCAGCAACATAATCGAGTGGATTACATTGATTTCTATCCAAACTGGCCACAAGTAGGGATGGCTGTATTGATTCTAAAGTAACCATACTTTGTACTTCTAACAAATATTGATACCCAATGAGTACTTTTCAAACTTTTCATATTTTGGAGGCAAATATTGTAGAGAACGCTCAACTTCACTATCTGAATGCTTTGGCTGATTTTGCAGAGAACAAGGATTTAATTGGCTATTAAAAAAGTCAATGTATACAAATTTATATGCTCTATTGGCATTTATTGTCAAAAACATCCCCATTGTATTAAACTAAGAATTTGGTATCTTCCATCCCCATCCATTCATGATTTAGGTGCTGTGCTTTGACTCTGGGGTCTTTTCCATTTTTCTGTTTACAAATTACAAAAACAAGAGGTTAGGAAATGCCCCCTTGACGCTGATACATCCAGCCTGTCTCCTGTGGACTGCTGATGGCAATGTGATTTGTTTGACCTGATCTGATGCTTGCATGCCGTTAGAGCACACTGTTTCACCTTCAGTTTGGTTTTGTTTGGTAGAAATGTGCTGTTTTTAGTGTGGAGTAAAAGTTGAATTAAAACAGCTCAGTTGACTGAACCTTGCTCAGCATCATACAACAGTTAACAATTTAATGGGACTTTTTAAAATATTTGGCAGCTACATAAAAAGATCAGTCTCTTTGAAAGTTTATGGAGACCAAATCAAAGCGAAAAGACGAGTTAAGATTGGATCTATGCAATGATGTTTTCACAGACTTGTGTTTATAACTTGTTTTGCCTCCAAGTGGCCAAAAAATCTGTTACACACCAGGTTTATTTTAAGGCAAGGTAAGTGCAGCAGAAAATAACCACTAGAGCATCAAAGTTTAACACTGCTGTAGTCGTTCAGTCGTTTTCTAACCCCAGAGACATGTGATACGTTTTCATAACGTCATTCTTGGAACAAACACATCTTTCTCATTTCAGAGAAGACTTGATTTCATCCCTGGAGGTGTAAATGATGGCATGCTGAAGTAATGTGCTTCTGCTGTTCACTTCACCTCTAAAGAAGCTGAATTTTACCCGACATTTTCCCAGAATCGTCTGACACTGACTCTAAAGGACTTTATTTGTGGAGGTTTAAAAAGGCCACTGAAGGCTTTGTTTCTTAGAAATGCATAAGCTGTCCTATTGAAAGATTTCTGTATTATAAATGTGTTTTTAAATGTTTAAAATCTTAAGTTTAAGGTCCATGAAGGTCTCGAGTCCAACGCTTTAAAAAGATTCTGTTACTTCAGCTCACTTTTCAGTCCATTACAGAATCTACTCTCCTGCTGCTTTGCTTTTTTGCTGCGAGCGGTCCAGCTGTGTGGAAAGACTAAAACCTTGAGGACTGAGGGTGACATGTTAGGTAAGACTTCTAACAAAAGGCATGACGTATGTCAGGGTGTTATAAGAAAAAAAAGTCTTACTGTCAGTTCTTAGGGTGTGAGAATTTTTTTTTTTTCTCCCCTGATGGGCACACAGATCCAGATTGTGTTTGCGGAGGGTATGAGAGGAAAGTGAAGGTGGTAGACTGATAAGTAGCTGCTGATGCATAAACCTGAAACTTTTAGAGGTGTTTTGTACTTTTGTATGTGACTTTATCACACCTTGTTTGCATAATTAGATCAAAATGTCAGTCTCTGAGTTTGTTTTTACCTTTCTGACTCACAGATGACTGGAATTTACCGAATTAAAACCATTTATCTTGTGTCAATCATGGACATGTAGAAAATAAATGTAATATTTATGCTTTATTGTCTGGTTGACAGCCATAAAATGCAATGTTTGTTAAAGTCTCCCATGTGAAAAATTGATCAAATCTGTTCTGGCTTAGACTAATCGAAAGAACTTTTTGTGAATATGGTTCTTGACCCTGGTCTCAGTTTAGTGGTGGGAGCAAGAGGCGGTATAGCGGATATCTCATTAGTGACAGAATAGAGGTCAGGGTGAAAAACATTGCACTCATCACCTGCTGGATGACAAATGAAGCCCTTCACGAGCCAACAGGAAGGGAGGAGATGAGAGAGAAGACAGTCAGAGGAAGACGACAGGAAAAGGAGAGGCGGCGGGGGAGATGGATAAAGGCAAAAGAGAAAACACGACAGAGGGAGTCACTTGTATTATTACCTTTCTGCTGCTGTATCATCTTTCATTTTTACACATTATGACATTTTTTGTTTTACAGAACTTACATCAGAGGATTCGAGCATCCCTCTGAGGGATGTTTGTCTCTTTGATTAATGAGCGCACTCAACACAGGCAGTGGAACACTTACGGGACTCATGCTCATAAGAAAATTGATTACCTTTAACTAGAAAACAATGGAAAATGGCGAAGTGTAATGACTGGGTACCTATTTAACTCCACAATCATTACAGGTCCTGGAAAGCAATCACTGTGTTCTGTAAAACTCTGGTATTAATGACTCTTCAAGTGTGAGAAACATTGCTTAAAAACACTCCTTAGACTGATTACTGCCATCATATGACAAAATGAAGCATTAATATCACAAAGATTGGAGCGGGATTCTGTTTTGATTAAAAAAAAAAACACCCTCTTGCTCACAGCTATTGTTTTCTTTTTAACTTTGCAACCACACAAAAATGAATAAATGTAACTCTCAAGTGAAGTCAATCACTAAAACCATGTAGGGGATTAATCAGTGTTAATTGGAACCCTGTTTCAAAAACAACTAAAAAGCCATTTTTCTCCACTTCTTTACATCTAGCAATTAGAATCAGGCTTTATTGCACCGGATTAAACCAACTCCTCATTTCACCACCCTATTAGATTCATCCCCCCTGCTAATGGGCCTTGTGATGAGCTATTGATCTACAGCAAGGTGTCTCAGGAAGTGAAGGAGCACTACACCAAACAGAACCAGCCAAAAAAGTAACATACAGTAGACTTTTTAATGCCGGTTATTGTAAAACTCATAAATGACCCTTTACCTGGTTCAATCTCCCGACACTGTGGTCAAGTTTTTCAGCTTAAGACGCATCATGACTTTCAAGGTCTGTTAGTAGGAATAGGTAGATGGCTGGACACGGCAGGCAGGTATGCGTTTGACGACGTTTATTCAAGGTCCTGATAAGCAAAGAGTACTGGTAGATACGCATGTATGATTGCTGAAACAGAATAAAAACAGACAGGGAATATTAACAATTTGTAAACTGATTTATAATAACCAATATCTGATACATAACATGTATAACACACATAAACTAATTATAATTTAGGCCAAATAAAGTGAATATATGCAAATTATCCATCAAATGATAATGCAATTCAACTTACATTCTTCAGGAACACATACAAGCTTCTTAAGATCACGTGGAGTGTCAAACTGACTCCCATAGACAACATGTGGGATTAGGCCCCTCAATAGCTGACTGAACTATGCCTGAGTAGAGAAGAGGAAACATTTCTTAAAGAGACAGTATCACAGGTAAACTGCAAGATACTGCTGTGACCTAGTCACTCTTTCATACAATGACACCATGTTGACCCTAGGGGGAGTGGTTGCTAGTTTGGCTGTGAATAATAAAAAGATTCCTGTAACACATCCCACTTTATATTCACAAGAGTTGGTAATGCTAATTTATGTTGAATTTACACAACAGTAGTGACATCAGTATACATGATAAAAAAAACTACAAACAACCTTAGGCTGATGCTCACCAACTAGCTTAAAGCTCCTATAAGGGATTTCCAGTTTCTGCCAATTTTGGCGCCCCTTATGGACAAAGTGATCTTTACTTGTCTTGTCCTCTTCGTCCCTAAGTTGTGTCTTACTGCAAAAAAAAATTATATTACTGACTTTTTACCACCAAATGTGTCATTAATTGTAAAGAGATTAAGTGGAACTTGTAAAAAGAGGCCTGTTTCTGTAGCGGATCAGCTGACACTTAATGTACCTCCTTTATAACAGTTTCAGGCATTAAAAATGACAATATACTCATTTCCATTCTTGTCCCCGGTGGTCTTGTTTGCTTTTGGATCACATGAAAAGGCAACACCATAAATGTCAGTCTCTTTCATAAATGTAAAATAAAAAAAATGCTCATAGGAGTTTTAAATATTTGCTCTATGATGAACAAGAAGTGCGCAAAATGTAAGAAAACCAAATATGTCATTAAGTCTTACTTTTGGGTTTGACAAATGTTCGGCTAGAGCAGCTAGAGTTTTAAGTTCAGCACAAAGATTACGAAGTAGCAAATACTTACATTACTCCAAATTCATTAGTAGTACAAATACCCCGAAAGCTCAAAAACTAGCAGGTCTGGTTTCAAGTCAGTGGTAGAGTGAGTGTTACATAGGGTGACCGTACGTCCTCTTTTACCCAGACATGTCCTCTTTTTGGGGGGCTGTCCGGCCTTGTCCGGGGGAGTTTATAAAATCCTTTAAATGTCCGGGGTTTTGTATGGAAGTTTTGAGTTTGTGTCGCGTGGACTTCCTGAGTTAGAAGCACGTAAAAAACACTCAACCCAACACGGGAAATTCAAAAATTCAAAAATGTACTATGTGCGACTCCCCCGCATAGTTGTGGATCCTTTTTGGGGATTCAGAATATGGTCACCCTAGTGCTACACATTACCTTAGCCAGCTAACTTGTTGCTAGGCAGCTTCAATGAGGGTATAGAGCTATGTGAACCAAAAGTGTAGGTCAAATGCAGAAGAGAGCAGCCTGGATGGTCTTTATAACACTCAAAAGGCTGCATCCTTTAAAGAATAGTGGCCATGTGAAATCAAAAGCTGCAAACACCTGAATGTTTATCAGTCATTGCCCTCTACAATTGAAAAGTTATACCTTTTCTGATGCTCTGTCTTTTCTTACTGGAGGGGTGATGAATTTAACCTCTGGCCACCTCAGAGAAAAGAAAAAAGTGCAATCAAGTATCAGCAAAAAGAGAAAAAAAATTGTCCAGCTCTGAAAAGTCTCTCCTCAGCTCTTTGATATCAGTTATTAGTGATGAGGTTTTTTATTTCCGGGAGCACGGTATCAGATACATTAAGGGCAAGAGTGAGTGATGAAGGTAATTAGGTTTGAGTTGTCCTTTCTCAACCTCTGCTCTTCAACTTTCTGCAGACCTTTAAGGACTTTTATTCTTCTCTGTTTCCATTTCTGAATGAAAGATTCATAACGTCTATCAGAAGGTTGAGATTGCTAATAAGCCTTTGGACTGCTGTGAACCGTCCTCCTGCTGGGAAGTGAATCTTTTACTATACACCTGTATTTAAAGAGCTTTTTGCCTTTCATTTACGAAAAGATTAATGTATAAGAAGCAATTTTGCTAGATATGCAGCCTGTAATTATCCCGTCTTTTATTGATTTCCCCCTCACCCAGATTGTCCAGACTCCCCGCTGATAGTTCGTGGATACAGATATTCAGGCTTCGATTGGATCCTGGTGGTTCAAACACAGCTCTATTATATTTCCTACAGTTCTCCATTTATTCGCCTGCCGCTCAGAGAGATTTGCAAGGCGGTAGAATTTGATCCCTCCCGGAACAAATTGAAATGTACTGTACTTGCAGCGCTCAGCAGTAGGGCTATCCTGCAGCGCAGAGAGGCCATGTTGTGCTGACTAGACTCAGACACTCACCTCACTGCACACACCGAAACAGCAGACCGTTATTCCCATATGCGGTGGAGAAAAGCAGAGAGTGTGCATCTGTGCGCTACTGTGAGTGTTTTAGGGGTGTGTGTGGATGGGTTTGGGTTTATAGGGTGCAAAAACTAGTGGAAGATGTCAGATTTGAGGCTGCAATAAAAACCTGTTTTACAAATCATCCATAAATCACCAAATTTTCTTATGACACTTTCAACTAAGAGCAAGGGAGAGGTACCATAAGGAGAGGTATGTGATAACAGGGTCCATGAGCAGAACTTTTTAGAGTCATGAAAGTGGCTGTATTTCAAACTTTATCATCATCTATCAGCTCTGAACCTGGTTGAGACAAGATTAAATTCAGAGTTTTGGCTGTAGTCCATCCTAAAAGCAAGCGCCAACCCCAAGTTTAATCAAATGAATGAATGACGATAAATGAGTGAACTACATAGCAGTGCTAAAAACTGCAGCTTGAGTGTGGTGTTGGTTCAAAAAGCCAAGAAAACCTCATTTACATCCATGTTAAAACGCCCATTTTACAGCAGATTAAGACACATTAATCGCCTGGTGCAAAAAAGGTTTGATCTTAAGAGCCAATCTCTCTATTTGTACATCAGACAGGGTTGAAATTTTAATAATAGACATCCATTTTGAAGATGTTGTGACCCTTGACTGATAAATAGGCATGAGTAAGCACTCTGCTATTCAGTATTTCGAGGGCCCGTCTCAGCCCCTGGTGCTCTTAAACAAAGAGTATCATCTGCAGTAGACCTGTTTTTTTGTATGCAGTGTATTGAGATTACATTATTTGGGATTTGGAGAGATGAAAATAAAGACTGGTTGATAAGCAAGCACTTTGCATCAGTGGAAGAAAAAACGTCCTTTTAATTTAACAGGCAGAAAACACAAGAAGAGCCAGAGTCATTAGAAGACAGCCATCTGTCTCAAACAGATGAGAGCGAGAAGTGAAAAAGAGGGTGATGCAGAAGAAGCAATACAGATGGAGACACACAGATGCAGTAACACATCGTTTTATCCTAACTGGTAATCATAAAAAATATGATAAACTTCAGCGATGACTATTTATAAGAGTTTCAGGGGCCGCCTATATGAAAAAGCAGATTCTAGCATCTCTTGTAGTTTTCCTCTCAGATAGCAGACAGGATGATTCTGGGTTTTAGACACATAAACACCTCTGTGACTCAGCCATGGGCCTCCGAGTTCATAGGATTGATGTTGCAAAGCCCTATCTCCCACTCTGTCTCTCTCATGCACACACACTCACACACTCACACACACACGCAGCTCTATCTCAGCCTCCCCCTCCGTCTCTCTCTTTCTTTCTTCTGCCCTCCCTACTCACCTTTCCTCATGATTAGATTGACTGGCTTTGTTTTGGGACCAGCGGCTCAGGGCTTGAGAAGCACTATGAAGGGGAATTGCCTTTAACCGAGATGAGGTTTGTTTCAGCTTGCTGTCGACTGCTGCTTTAAGCCGAGGGGTATTCAGCGTGCATCGCAGCACACCGCCTGTAAACGTTATCCACGGCCCCCTGGCCAGGCAAGGTAGATCACTTCTCAGGGGCTGGCTGTATCGGCATTTGTTTGTGTTGCGCTCTTGTTTTAAATCCAATATGGCAGCATTAATCAAAGCAGCAGAGCTCGGAAAAGAAACCCTGCAGCTGAAATTAAATCGTTGTGATGATCTTTTGCTGAATCCATATCAAAATCAAAGGAAAGCACAACACCTGATGTTGGTGTGACATTGGATCGTCCTAGGAGTTTGTGACCGTTATGGGCATCATTATGAGGGATGGACGCACTTACAGAGTGAGCACCACAGCAGTATATCACTGGATTTATGCTTACAGTTGCCTTGCAGGCGGGCGCTGCTACCTTTTTTCTCTTTTTTTCATCCCCTTTGCTTGTTTCCTTGGGATTCATAACAATTTGTCCTTATTTTGCCTGATCCTGTGGTTGCAGAGTAAAGCTGAGATGCAGACAAGGGGAGAAAATGAGTATGTGCAAGAGGTTGTGTGTGTTTGTTTTTGTCAGACAAAGTAAGAGGGAGCGAGTAAAGGCAAAGAAAGCAAAGGAGTAGAGGAGAGGATGGCAGGTGGAGGAGGAGGGAGGGTAGTCTAGGTTGCCTCTGCGTGTCAGAAGAAGAGTGTCTGGCCCGTAACGAAATGCCAACCAAATGAGGACGGATCAGGGGGCCGAGCGTAAGCCACCCTGAGCCCCCATTACTGAGCACAGAAGACGGATGGGACTGCTCGTCCTCAGAGAGGGAAGAGAAACACACACACATTAATACACATCCTCATTCTAACACCAATGTGCACCGGCTTCAAGGACAACCCCTCACACACAGAGACACAAACACACACATAAACACTCTATAGGGAGGGCACAAAGACAGGACGGTACAAATAAAGGCATGCTGATAAAATGTTACTATCCTTGGAGATGATACTTGCATGTGCACCCCACTCGTACTGACAGTCAGCGTTGAAAATAACTCTCCACCGAGGATGCAAATTTACAGAAATCAAGCAGCAAATAAAATCTGAGACACTGACTCACTGACTACACATACTTAACACAACAAATGTCTCACTGCTAGCAAAAGCTGGCTATGCTAATTTGCAGATGGCAAATCATCAACCATGCAGCCAGCAGCCCGTACTGCACCCGATCATGATGAATGATAAAAGATAATGTGATAAATCTGCATTTCCAAACCAGCTCTCAAACGCTTCCCAAAATGCTCAACACTTAAACTGTTTGTTTGTCTTTGAGACAGTTCACATCAAAAAGACACATGATTTCAGATGTGTAACTTTATGGGGTGTGACCAAAGCTTGTCTTATTTTAAACCTCTGGTCAATGGATGCCATCAAAAGAAGAATCAGAGGATCGCAAGCAGCTGAATGAGGGAAATTTATGGAGTCACCCTGGCGACAGTAGACCCATATCAAACGGCACGGCAGCAATCACGCTCTTTTTATAACAGCTAATCATTCTCAGTTCCAACAGTGTAATGCTAATATCACCCCCACTGAGAGGAAAAAGGCCAGAGAGTTTTCAAGGTATTCAGTGACCATTCAAGAGCAATTACACCCACTGCTGTTTATAACACGTTCAAATGGACACACACAAAGCCTTTTATCAACTCAGGTCAGCAAGAAGCTAATCCAACCAAAATGGCTACATACTGTTTCCATCATTCAACATACCCATTACTCTAAGGTGTGTTATAATTACATTTGCTGTTTCAACAAATTAGTAATTGTAAAATAACCTCTTACGGCATATTAACATGTAATTGTATGAACTCCAACATGCTGGGATAGAGTGATGCTTTTTCGATGGTCAATAGACGGGTTTCTTGTGTACAAACAATACTCGGTGCGCGCACAACCATGGTCAAACGCCTGCTTCGTGGTAAACTGATATCAATGAAGATGTCGTATTCTTTGGAAGCTCTCCCTGACACAATTGCGATAAAATGTCATTTCATTAAAAAATTGCTTTGTCTTTCATTGCATCAAAATCAGAAAAACATTTGCTGAAATATCCATGAATTTCACTCAATTTACCAGGTTGTGACGTTGTTTTAGATGTTTCTAATACCAGGAACAGGGTCGCAATGTTTGCCGATTGTTTGTTTTGCCGATTCGTGCAGTTTACAGCACAACAGCTGCTTGTCATTTTCTTTCTCCGTTGACTGCGCTAGTAAACAAATAAGAAATGTCCCACTTTCTGCCTCAAGGTTACACATGCATACCTGCCATCAACACAAATGTTTCCTGAGATTTCTCGTTTTGCATACTTTTTCTCTCTTTTATTGAACTGTGTTTTGATCTGGTACACCGGTCGTTAGGCGACTGATCACGCCATCTTTTTTTGGGTTGTTTTTTTTGGGGGGTTTTATCCCCGAGATAGATAAATGTGTGTTGTGGACTGATGTGGTAGAGATTTCGGAAGAGTCCGCCTTCACTTTGACTATGTAGGATTAAGGTTTATGTAACCCAGCGTGCCGCTTTGAGTTCTTTCAGGGGTTTGACACACGTTAAAGGGTTCATGTCTTTGGATCTTTGGGCTTTCTTTAGAGTTCAAGTAGGTGGGTGAAAATTATCTCATAGATTGTTAGTGAATTTTTGAAGATTCAGATTGAAATGTACATTACATTAGGTTTTAATCCCCTTGTGTGTTCAACACCGACTTGAAAAGGCTGAAGGCTTGCAACAACTCCACCTCTTTGTCTGATTAAAACTTTGGTCTAATCAGCATTTCCAAACTGGCCCCCACCATCGTCTGGCTCCTAAGAAACCATGTAAGTATAGGCTTTATACAGTCCATGGTTTTAGCATTCATGAGCATGACCAGCTAACTAGTTTTTTGCAGGGTCAAAAGTAATGATAAAAACTTTTCTTACAGCAAAACTATTAAAAAAATAAACAGCTGGAAATCTTCAAGGCTTTCTTGTCTCTTAATGGTAGAATTGAAGCATACTGTTTAAAATATGATTGATTTAGTCTTTAGTTATTTTTGTAGTAGATGACTTGAATGAGACCTCTGGTTTCTATTGAGTTTATACTGAGATGTTCTGGATAACTTTAACTACTCTGATTGTTTTCCTATCTGAAGTTTTGGAATGATCATCTGTCTTATAATCTTCATGCTATCAGACTGTTAAACCTTCATTATCAGACAAATCTGAGAGCTTGCTCTTACCTCATTTTCCTCTGAGCTGAGATCTCGGAATAAGCATCTGAAAGACAGTTTCAAGATTTAAAACTGTGAGACTAAACCCTCATATTTATATTGAGATGAATCTGAGAGGTACCGCTCATCTCATTTTTCTTTCAGCTTAATACTTTGAATCAGACAACTATACACAGGGCCTGAACTGAGTTTTTTCTTAAAGAGCTAAAAAAAATTGAGAGAATGAACCAAATGTGCTTTTGGCCTTGACTTGGGCTGATTTTATCTGTGAGACATGCAGTAATTCCCTGAGTTATCTGTGAGGTTGATGGGTATGTTAGTCTATTAATGAGAAAATCAACTTTTTGTCATTTCAGTCAGACCAACACAAATCCATTTTTATTTCTACATCATGTTAAAGTTCATCATGTTAATGTTTTTGAACTTCCCTCAGGGATATATAAAGTATCTATCTATCTATCTATCTATCTATCTATCTATCTATCTATCTATCTATCTATCTATCTATCTATCTATCTATCTAGCTATCTATCTAGCTATCTATCTATCTAAATAAATACTTTAGATAATTACAAATTGGGCCCAGTCAATGCGAGTCTCCAGTATTCGTTTTCTTGCTTGTGTTGGTAGTCGTGGTTAAGTAGGATTCATACAAGTTTATTTACTTTCTGGTTGGTTTCTACTGTCTGATACTGTCGTCTGATACGGAATCCTGCCTAACCCACCTTTACTGTACTGAATGGTCATATTTAGCCTCCGCTTGCCTGTATCTGACTTCAAAGTCCTATATAATGCAGTGCTGTGCTGGCTACAGTAGTTTTCATCAGCTTTGTTTTGAGGCCAAGATAACCTACAGCTCTATTACCCTTGTTGAGGTCAGCCCTGCTTTATGAGAGATGAATAAACATAAGCATTGAAGTCAGCAAAATGTAGGATATTTTAAGCAGGGCAGCAGCATGCTTTATTAGCACCAGTAATTAGCATGGATATGCATACCAGTTGTTTTGTTCCCCCACCTTTGATGAGAGGGTATCAGGGCAGGATATAGCCCAACCAAAGATAGCAATAAAACGAGACAGAGCGGGCGGTGAAGTGTGTGCGTGTATGTGTGTGTGTGAAGCCTTGTTATTTCAGCTCGTTACTCCCTTGAGGCTTTGTTCCTATTTCAATTAATCCCTAATCAAACTAGGAGCAGCTAACATGATCTGATTTGGCCTCTTCACATCGGGACGCTCTAATCAGTTTCCCCATCCAAATAGGATTTGGAGGCAGGCCAGAGGACACACACCTCCTGCGTTGTTGAGATTGTCCTTTGAGATATTATCACTCTATGGCACGTCCTCCCCAGCAACCCCCTGTGTGTTTAAAGGAGGGTGGTGTCACCATGAATAGTTAGACAACTCTAAAACTTGAATGCAAGGTGAGAGAGAGCACTGCAAGTATTCTGGCGGTGTTATCTGTCCTCAGGCGAGGTGGTGGCTCTAGAGTTTGTGCAACGCCAGATAGCAGAGGACTGGTGCTGACTGCATAATGTCTGCAAAGAGATGAGCTCGTAAACAAAATCTGATGTATTATTCACACCTTGGCAAAAAAAAAAAAAGGTGAACACTGGTGCCTGCCTGATGCTGTGATGTACACTGACACCTCACATCTGCTAGCTAATGAGTGCGACTGCAACAGGGCCCTCTCATCAAGGGCATCAGTCGTCGCCCAACTGTGGGACAAGAGGAGAAACTACAGCGCCTTAAGGCCCAGCTTCTGTTGCAATAAAGAACAACAAGCAGCTGCGAAGCACCAGGAGAGCACTTACATCAATCCATTAAGAGGCAGAGACGCAGCACGGGTGAGGAAATAAACAGAGTACGGAGGAAAGTGGAGTACAAGAAGGAATTAAAAGTAAACTGAAAGAGACACAAGAGGAGAGAGAAGGCAATGAAGAATATATACACCTTTGAGGCAGAAGAGGGAGGAAGGTGTAAATTAAAGAGAGAGCTAAAAGTAGATTTGCTCAAAACTTTCCAGCATTTTAATTGACCCTTTCTCACTCACAACTTCCAGAAGTTGAAAAAGCACGTACTAATATTTCCTCAGTATTCAAGGACACACAGACAGACATAAGATGTCCGCGTGTTATTTTCATTTAACAAGGTCTCGTACCAGAAAATGTAGAATAACGCAACCCTGAAGACACCTGAGTTAAAATGGCAAGAGAGCGTCAGATGGGATCTGTGCACTCTGCCTCAGAAATTGTGTTGACCTGAGGTTAATTTGGTGGTTCAGTGCCCCCTGGAGGTCACTAACACATTTCAGCTGTTAATAACCCGGGTTTTTAGTCACACTGCTATCATATTAATTACATTTTTCATACACAGAAGAAACATTTTGATATGTAGCTGACTGACTTCTATCTGGAAATGCAGAAATCATTTTATTCTTACCTGCATCATCAACACCAACTGAAAAACTTTGACAGACAGTTTTGAGTCTTTCGGGAATTCGCTCATGAAAACTTCTCGCATTATATATTCATACTTTAATGCACTCTACACTTGTGTTGGTGGCATTTTTCCACCAACACAAATGCCTTTAAATTTGTGAGTGCCAGTCTTCATACTATTTTCCAGTATAAAGACTGTATTTCCCATGAGCACCATCATCTGCTGACTTAAAGATAAGGTTTTAGCCAAAGTTTGAGGCAAATAGTGGAATGCAGATTCTGTTTTCAGAACTAATTTTCTTCATTTAAGAAACATTTTTGCAGGATGTAGAGTGATAGGGGGAATGAGGCTCGTTGTTGATAACTGTATCATATGACAAAACCATAAAAATTGATTTATCATCAATGGTTCGCTTGCAAAAAATGATCAGACATGCCAGTTTAAGGCTACCTGCGCAGCTCCAGTGTCATTGTGTGTGCTCTAGTGCTCCAGTAAACCTCTGCACAATGTAAAAATGCTCTTAAGTCCTCACAGAGCAGTGTAGTATTCACAAGCTAGCATAAATCCAGTCCTTGGCCATTTTCTCCAGGGTCTGGCACAGCTCTAGTTGTGTTGTTTCTCTATTTCTACAGAAAACACATGTCTTTTTGCTTATCCTCACCAGTTTCTGTAAACTTTACAAACTTTCCTCTATACATAACCACTTCTGGGTGAGTGCAGAATATCAGCTCAGATTTTTCTCACAGAAAATCCAACCAAGCACCAAACACAGACTTTAAAATTCAGTGTAATGAAAGGAGAAACTTGTCTCAGATCATCAAGTTCTACTCAAAAAGGTCATGAAGAGTGACACCGTTTCACAGTCATTCAAACTCCACACTGTGCATTTGGAGTTCAGTTTAAAGTATCTTAGATCAATAGTTTCCATAACGAACCCTAGTTGCTTCATCAGCACAGAGAATGCCAGCACTGCTATCAGGAACAAACAGCCCCACAAATGCATTTGGATTCAAAGATTGCCTAATCCTGTTTGGTGCAGTGAAGTAGATGACATCTCTGATTCCTATCCTTTGTCAACAGCCAAGGACAGCCTGAAAAGAAAAGTGAAGAAAATCCTTTCAAACTATTCAACCCATTGTTAAGAGTTGAAGCTGGTTGGTAATACAGTTTGTTTGTGATTTTCTGTATTGGTTTCCTATTTTCTCAGAATTCAGTACTCCACAGAGCAGGCGAGAAAGTTATGGCTCACTGTGGGTGGAAACAAAGTTAGAGGCTGCATCAAATTCTGGCTTATTGTTGCAGAAGAAGTTCACCTTCCTGCATTTTTTCTGAGATGGCCTTGCCTTGGTTCGAGTGCATAATGTCAAGCCTTGGAAAAAGGCACAAAAGGTTCAACTAATGGTTTAGATGGTTTAAAATTGGTGCTACAAAACTAAGGATGTACTTTGTACACGAATCACGCAAGATGAAAACAGGCCCAAGGATTACAAGTCAAACTAGTTGACGACCCAGTCTGATGAAAAACCTGTTTTTCTTGTTTTTTACATGTTCATATGAAATTTTTCTGATACTACAGGACATATCATGAGAAAACTAAATGCAAAATTGCTTTTCTGAGTATTTCTTCATTCTAATCGCTGTGAATCTCTGGCAGACCCTAGCAGCAAATTCAGAAACAGTGAGATTTCATACATAACTAATCCAAGCTCCAACCCGCAGCCCTGCTATGCAGGCCAGGCTATGCATATAGAGGAGCAATACAGAGGACGATCGCAGAACATGCTTGTGCGTTAGCGGATTGCAATGCTTGTAATAAAGCTAATCATGATAGTAACTTTCATTGTGTTCCCTAGAGACATTATGGTCCGAGAGCTGAATAGCTCCTATGTTACCTGCCACTTCTGCTGCACAGGCAATGTTAGGTTGCAAGCTAACATGAAGACGAGTGTGCAGAGCAGTGCTGTCTCTGCCCACAACTCAGAGGGGAATTGCTAATGATCTACTGGAGTTCTACTGAAGAAAAGCCTTGAAAATGACACAGGTAACGTGATTTTTGGTAAAAACTTAATAATCACAATTTAAAGACCACTGAGAACACTTTGAGTAGTAAAAAAAACGATTTGAGTGGGACTTGTCTTCAATCATTTTAAGGTGGATTTTCTATTGAGCAAGCTGAAATTCACACTACACCATCTTGTGGTTCTTACGAGTAGCCATGTGCATCAAAGCGTTATTCTCCCCCCACAAAGTGTGATGGAAAACAAACACCCACTTCACTCAACACTCAAAATATGAAGCATGGAGGGAGAGCGAGTAAAGCGAGCACCTCATTTATCAAACCCCAGTTGGCCACTGGTGGGTGGGCATCGCTGTCAAAAGGCCAATTAACAAGAAGCCTATTGTGAGCACCACAGAGCAGCACAGGAGAGAGTAACCATTAGCGGAGATTCATCATTAGGAAATAATGGGACCAGAATGGGAAACACGCTCTGGGTTTCACATGTGTCAGGCATGAGGGCTGTTTCGAGCTGAAAAAAAAAAAGGTGCGACTCTCTCATCCTCCTTTGAAAACTTCACTACTTCAAATTATTTTGGTGGTTTTATGTTCAGACGTGGCCTCCAAAGAAATAGCAGCAATAAGTAGCTTCTTGGTGGATTTAAAGCTGAGGCACGGCCACTATTTCTCCTTGTGAGCATCCAGAGTGTCAGTATTGTGGAAAGATTTTAAAGCTTCATCATGAATACAGACAGGAGGAGAATCAGGAAGATTTCTGACAGTGAGCGATCAATACGGCACAGAGAACATCAGAAGAGAAAAGAGGTGAATGGAGATGAGCTTTGGTATTAGGGGGCGGCATGGATTTTCAGTGTTTTGGGGGACCACTCCTTTCATACATTGAGTCTTTTGTTGGATTACTTTGTCCATTATGAAATAATAATGATTCCTCTGGCCCTGAGGCAGAGGCGAGTGGACTCTCTAAGTGTACTCTCCAGTTTGTTGCTCAACTGAATGTACTTGAGATGAAGCTGTCAGAAGAAATAGTTTGTAGAACTTTGAAAATGTCTGCTTTATTACTTCTTTTGGTTTCACTGCAGGAATAAACCCAAGGCTATATGCAAAAGGCGGAAAAAAGGCTCTGAAGGTTTTTCAGACTTACACAATCAAGGCCTGGATTGTAAAACAAACAAATCTTTCCATTTTGATATATTCTGTTTTTCTTCTTTTTTTTTTTTTTACTGTTTATATTCATTCATATGTCTGGAGTTGATGCTCAAATATTTATTGCATGTCCTTGCTGTTAAGTGGTGGGACTCACTGCCAGGCTGTATGAGTGTATAACTAATAAAGAGCATGAATCATATCAAGACAAAGTAAATATGTACACAGATGGTTCAGAGTTTTCTATGTGAGGCTGCGTGGAATTCCCTGCACAAGTACAAGGCTGAGTACTGTTTCACCCAGGTCTACAAGAAACATGTATGTAAAAACAGACATGATATTTAATCTTCGGACTGATCCATTCTATTGGTTTTTCCAAATACTCCCTCATTTTGAATTTGATGTCTGTAAGACGGTCTAAAAAAAGCTGGGACAGGGTCATATTTACCTCTAAATAACTTTGAATACGACTCAATAAGCATTTGGAGCAAGCATTCTTGCCTGATATACCACTTGAGTTGCTCAACAGTCCAGGGTCTCCGTCGTTGTAGTTTGTGCATCATAATGGGCCACACATTATTAATGGGAGACAGGTCTGGACTGCAGGCAGGCCAGTCTAGTACCTGTACTCTTTTCCTACAAAGACACGCTGTTGAAACATGTGCAGAATGTGTCTTGAGATTATCTTCCTGAAATAAGAAGGGATCCCTGAAAAAGACGTGGCTTGGATGGAAGCATATGCTGCTTCAAAACCTTTGTGTACCTTTCAGCATTAATGGAGCCTTCACAGATGTGACAGTTAGCCATGAGCGCTAACACACCCCCATACCATCACAGATGCTGGCTTCTGAACTTTGACCTGCTAGCAATCTGGATGGTCCTTTTCCTCTTTAGCCCAGAGGACACCACCTCCATAATTTCCAAAAACAGTTTGAAATGAGGACTCGTCAGACCAAAGCACGCTGTCCAACTTTGAATCAGCTCAAGCCATGAGAAGCCAGAGAAGCTGAACTGTTGGACTATTTGCAAAAAACAATAAAGTTTATCAGTTTGAACATTAAATATTTTGTCTTTGTCAACTGAATATAAGACAAGAAAGATTCTTATACACATCTTACATAGGGTGATCTTAAGTCCTCTTTAACCCGGACATGTCCTCTTTCTTTGTTCAGGCTTGTCAGGCCTTGTCTGGGGAAGTTTATAAAATCCTTAAAAGAGTTTCAAATTTGTGTAACATGGACTTACTGAGTTAGAGGTGCATAAAAAAACTTGATCCGACCCAAAAAAACTCTCAAAATTAACTTCGTGCGACTCTGTGACTCCGCCCCAGTGTAGTCGTGTCCTCTTTTTGGGAAGTCAGAATATGGTCACCCTATCTCACACAAAATCCCAACTTCACTAGAATTGGAGTTTGTAAAACAAAATTTTGTTTAAGGACTATGAAATATTTTACATATATATTTTCACTTAATGCGCAATACACTGATAAATCATTAGCCAATGATGGGAGTATCTGATAATCATTTATTTTCAATGCTGCCATTTTCCCTATGAGAAATGCTTCCTTTTACTTATTAACTTAACATTATTATTCCAACAAAAGCCTAACAAGAAAGTCAATATGACATCTCCTGGGTTTGTTTTTGTTTTTCCCACTGTTTCAGAGGGGGATGGCTCAATTGCAATTTATAAAACATGTCCCACTTGTATTCAGAAGAGGAAAGAAGTCCTCAAGTTTTACAACGTATCCTTAAAGTCACCTGAAGAGTCATCAATGCAGATGAATTGCAGAAACAAGAAATAACAGCCAGCATTAGTACCAATAAAACAGCAAGTGTCCTTGTGTGGATTTGAGAAGTGCAGAGAGTTTACTAGACAACCAAAAGTGAGAGCAGTTAACGACTAAATCACTGAATTCACAGCGCTTGATGGCCCACCTCCGCCGAGACACAGGAGTAAAGATCCCAACAGTTAATAGTGTGTGATGTGATCACTTTAAAGTCTGGCACACAACAGAGTCAGTATCAAAGTAAGTTTTACCGTGGATGTCTTCTTTTTCTAAGAGTTAAAGCTCCCCTGAGGAATTTTTTGAAACATATTGATCGATATTGATGCTTTTTCTTGATATTCAAAGACAAAAAAGGCCTTAAGCAACAAGATAGATGACTTTTTTAAAGTATATTTAAGTGTGTGAAACTACTGTGAGGAAGTAAATCTGCTTTTACAATTTCTACATAAACTAAAGAGAATGAGTAAAAGAAGTCAACCAGCAAAAAAAAAAACATCTAACACTAGAAATTAAACTAGTAAAAAGTATAATACTTCACAAACAAAAGGGAGAGAAATACGCTAGAGTAGAAAAAAACATAGAGGTAGTTAGAGATAAATAAAAAGTGACAAAGAAAGCTGAAGAGGGAACTTTTGAAACCTGTAAAAATCACAAACAGCTTGGATATTTCTTCTTTATATTCAAAGCCATACCCTGTAAATGCGGGGCGAGTTGGAGAGTAAGCAAACTTTTTGAACAGCTCTTGTGGCTCCTATTGTTTGGTGAAAGGAAATGGTTGACATGGGAATCAGGTATTTGGGACCTCAGATATCTCAAATGAAGAAGAGAAAACAGAGGGGAGAGATGTCACAAAAGATCGAACATTTCCCTGAAAGTCTTGTAACCTCACTGAAGGATTTTGATCCCATGGTGACGCCAGCGCTTAGTGTATTTGCTCAAAGAACTTTTAATAATTCATTCAGGAAAAATCTTTAAAAAAGTAAATGTCAAGCACTTGGCCTTGAAGCCCTGAACAGAAGTGACAAAAAACTTTGTCCTTCCAAACTTTCTGTTCTCTAGACTCGATTCAACAACTGAGACCTTTCTTTGGGTTCACATTGAAAATGAGCTTTTCAGGCAGTGAGTGGGTGCTCGGGTATGTGTGAGTGTCTGTGTCTATTTCTGTGTGTTTGTGTTGCTGTGTCCTGGCTTTGCGAGTGCTCCGGGTCGAGGTTGCATGTTTTGTCCCCTGGAGACGTGGGCTGATTAAGAGGCTTTGTAACATTTAATGGCTTTGTGAGCCAGTGAGCTCCACACTGACTATACAATCGTGACAACACACGGCCTGTTCCTTTCTCTTCTGAGGAGACACACTCCTGAAACAGAAGCTCCTGTACTTCTACTGCTGCTACCGCTGCATACGACTTTGAATTCACCACACACTCACACTCACACACACCTCAGCCTTACAGTCTTTACAATGCACTCTCAATTCTCCCTGTCTCACTTTTATCACTGCCTTTGTTCTCCAACTTCTTCTCTGTCTCTCAAACTTCTGCTTCATGCACCTTGTTTCTGTTTTTCTGCATCTCTCAGAGTGTTTTCCTCCACCCCTGATTTATTCTCAGGTCGTATCTGGCTCTAATATACACGTACACGCTGCTCTCTGTCTCTCTCTAGGTTTCTGTCAGACCTTGTCAGCAATATAACCTGTCAAAGTCAGTCACAGTGATCACCTGCCACTCAGCCTGACGTCGGCCTGCTGACTTGCAAGCATAAATCAAGAGGGCGTGTGTGCAGCTGAGAGGCCGAAGTACAATGGCCGGAAATGTTCAAGAGGGTAATGCAGGGATGCTTGTTGTTAGCCGTGATTGTTGCTGGAGTTCATTTGAGAAACTGGAACAACTTTCCCGTCAAAATATATCTAGAATATTCAAATCCAGAAAAATGTAAATCCAGAAATCACAACTAAGGAGTTACCTTTCCAATCCAGTAGGTACTCTGCTGCCACTCCAGCTCCAATAACCTCTGCATAACATAACTTATTCAAAATGGGCCTATCACACGCTTGACTTTCTTTACATGTAAGTTTGTTACTTTAAAGGGATATTCCGGCATAAAATTAATTTAGGGTCAAACACACCATCACACCGAGTTAGACACCCCGTCGAGAGATTAATGTTGCCGACCACTTGCTTTTCCTGTTATACCAACTTTAGTAACGACCGCAGGATAGCAATACACAGTGGTCTGAGGAGCCATAAACAAACCTCAACCAAAACGCCACTCTATAGCCAAAAATAATGCTCAGAACAGCGCCTAACTTCATCAACAGTATATATAGGGTCCCAGCCATAGTACTAGCCACCAAACATTGTTTTAACTTTGCCTGATTTCTTTAGCAAAGAGACTAAACGCAACTCACCCACTCTCCTCCAGCAGCCACTTGTTTGTAGCAAGACCTCGGGCCAGTCCATTACGGACTGCTGCGGGGTGCCGCAGCTCAAGGAAGAACATTTATGATAATTTCTTCTTGGAAATGCAATCAGACCGAGACGCTAAGGTAGAAGAACTACCGCGTAATGTTAATGTAATGATCATCAGCCGGCAACATTCATCTCTCGACAGGGTGTCTAACTCTGTGTTATGGTGTGTTTGACCCTAAATTAATTTTACGCGGGAATATCCCTTTAAGCATGAATAATGATTAGAATAACACAAAGATTAAAAATAAGAGGAAAATAATCACAAAGGGATTTGGTGCATTGGAAAATCCCTTGCCGAGACAGAAGCAATCGATCTCAGACACTATTAGAGTCTCAATCAGTCCAACGAGCCCATCCTCATGAATGTACAATCTTTTATTTAAACCTTGATCATGACGTTGATACAGACCAAAGATTAACTATGTGCTTCTACTTGGAGCAGACTGTAAGGGTATATTTCAACTAGCTACACACTTTGGACCTGACTGTGATTCAGAGAGTTCGTTTCCTTGTTGTCTAAAGGTGTGAATCTGCCAGCATGAGGCCCAGAACGACTTACAAAGGTGGTGTTGGTGCTAGCAGGGGTGACCTTCCAACACAGCAGTAAACTTCAGACTTCCTCTGAAGTAAAAGAAGCAACATGAGGCAAACAGTGAGCACAGAAAGTTTGGGACAGGCGAAACAGAAAAAGAACTCTCACTGCTGAAAGTTTGTTCGGGAAAAGTTCAGAGAGAGTTTTCTGTGTCTGGTAAGTTCTCAGGCTCAACTTCCAAGTGAAAAGTTGATAACCATAAATAAAATCCTACAACACAGACACAAACTAACATGATGGTGCTGCTTTCAGTGCACTTCTACAACACTATAACTCTAACGTATGCTGACAGTAAGCGATTAATGACTTCTGTTTTTTTATGGTCTAATTAGCGACTTAAGAAACAACCGTGTGTTCGGACCATATGTGAAATTAGCCCCTCCAGATGTGTCTGCAAAATAAACCTCTTTTTTTTTCCTTTTTTCACTATTCCCTGGAGGAGCGTTGGTACATTTGTTTTCTGTTGAGTCTTAGTTTTGCTGTTAATAATAGATTACAAAAAGGCTGCACTCAGGCTTGATCAAGAAATATGAAAAGATATGGATTTTTCTGATTGCATAAACGGACCACAAACAGAAACGAGAACACTTCCAATCTTAAAACCCAAACCGAGACTGGTTCTACATTTTTTATGTTGAATTTGTAAACAGAGATTGGTAATGCATCAAAGTGGCAACATAAATCCAGCTGCATCTTATCCCAACATGAAACGGGCAAACGTTTTTATGCATAAGTATGGAATGAAAAGGCTATAAAACTCAATCAAGTCCGTTTGAGTACTTTTTTTCTTTGGCTTTACCCCCACTTTAATCAAAAGGAGTCTTATAGCTTTTCATGCAATGTATTTCCAATGCACTGGGGTTTAAAATGAAGACATAGACTGCTCAAGAGGCATAAATTAGCCTCTCTCACACAGTCACACACATCCAAAGTGGCGCCTCATTACTGTTTGTTTGGCTTTATTGCATTTAAGCCTCTATGGGATGTACACACCATGTTGTAAGACAGAAAGCTTTTTATCTTCTTCAACACACACGCACACACACATACACATAAAACACACAAAAAGAAATCAGTCGTCAAGGGGCGTTGCAGTGGATATCAGTGTTAACACAAGTAATTGCCTCCTGGTTCGGGAGCTTGTGAGTGTTAATCCAGCTCGGCAAACTTTGCTCTTCAGCGCGTGACTCAGAGCATGCTGTTTTATCTGCACTCTTGGTTCAGGCTGACTCTGCCAGCGCGTCACATCAGGACATGTGCCGTGTTTGTCTTCCAGTTGATAGCACTACGCAGAAGGTAACTTACTCTAAGAATGAAGTAAATTTATAATCTTTGGGGCACAGAGGAATAAAAAGTCCCCCCGAAAAGCGCTGATATTAAGACAAAAATCTGTGTCTAGTGTGCGTGATGAAGAGTGGGGTGAACCTTTTTAAAAACCAAATCTCATCAAATAAAAACATTATCACATTTCTCTGTTGGAGGCAGACAATGGCAGAATTACTATGCCTACAGCAGCTGTGGGGTCTCTTATCTTTTATCCTCCCGATAAGATAAAACATTTTCTCATTTCCTTTGTTTTACATTTCACACATTGGGAGACAAGGTGATCTCTCCTGAGGGTGTGAGCTCCCATGTTAAGCAGCCTGTTACTGACAGGAAAAGATGTCATTCATTATGAAAAATGCTTAATGAGATCTTCCAGCGATACCACCCAGTGATTTGAAACGACACCATCCTGCCTCTGAATTTTTAACCGGGATATTAAATATTTAAGATATGAATAGAGACCGAGTTGACAAAGCAATTAGATATTGACTGACCTTTTCGATGTGTTTGGTATTCTGTATCACTCGCTCAAGATTCATCTTGTGGGTGCTGTGAGCGGTGAGGAGTGGAAGGGTGGTAAAAGTATCACAGAGCTTGTTCAATCAGTCAATGCCTGAGGAGTACAGGGGGTCTTCTCCGAGTTTAAAGTATAAAGCGTAGCTTATGCAACAAGGTATGGTGACATAACACGCATCCATACTGACTTTGAGAAGTTATATAGGAAGATTATGAATTTCAAATCAGTTGCAAATTACTTTGTCTTTTTTTATCAGTACCATTTGTTGGTTTTGTAATACATTAGCGCTTGTTACACATGCCCCTAATAACTTAATTAGTCCACTGATCTGTGTAGCCCAATGAAAAAAAAAACTGCAGTTCCAAATGTGTCCACTTGAGGCTGCCTCCAATAGTGAGTGAATTGCCATTAGACTCCATTTCAAAATGCTAGTTATTCCAGCATAAATTAATATATTTAACACCTGGAATTAAAAAATAATAATTTTAAAAAATGGTCTGTGTGGCTCGTTTATGACTCACCCTTTTATGGGGTTAGGGCTTTTCTGCCTTTAATTTGATAGAGCAGTTTAAGAGAGACAGGAAACTTGGGTAGAGGTTTATGACATGGGGCAGGAGTCGGCTGCAACGAGGACAAGGATGCACACTTTAACTGGGAGGCCAACCAACACCCCATAACTCACCCTGTCCAAGTATATAAAGCCTAAAGTAAAAGGGGGAGGAAATTTGAAGCTGCTGCTTGTCTGTTGGACAACAACACAGCTTCTTCTGTGACTGAACCTCTTGGCCATGCTTGTGCTGTTTTTCACAACAGTAAGACCTTTGAGGACTGGGACATGCAACATTTTCCCTTGTGACTTTGTCCTTCATCTATTAGGCTTTTGTTTACTACCCGGTTTCCCAGCAACACATTCATGCCATCCAACTTCCAGCTCAAAGCCCTACATACAAATGCTTACACCAGCTTCATTTATCTTGCACTATCTTGTGTCCTGTACTTCCTTTTGTTTAAGTCTCAGATTGGTCAGACACCGTGATATTCAATGGTGCAGGTACTTACGAAACATAATTTACAAAGTACCTCAGGATTAGAGACTGTGGGAAAGAAAATCCCAAGCTTGTATTTAATATGTCATATTTCCTAAGAGGATCATGAAGGTGTTCATTTGAGTTTTTGGCTGGTAATGAGGAAAAAATAGAAACTCAAGCAGCTTTATGGGGAAAAATAGCACTAAGACCCTGACTTATACATGTGAAGTGTACTTCCTGATGATTACCTCTGCTGTCTTCTGTAAAATATGATGACTCTTTGAAAGCATTTATTCACTCACAGCTAATGAAATAAACAAACCTTGTAGCCAGACTGAGGTGAAGCTGCAGTCAAGGCCATTGAGAGCCTTTCCAACCACTCACTAATGGGCTCGCAGACACTAGCAGGCCAATTAGATTGGCAGCCATCCAATTTTCTCTTACATTAGCGAATACAGTAAAGCCTCTTCATCTCTTGCACTCAAGATGAAAATCTGAGGGGGAGAAAATAGTCAAGAGCGAAAGCGAGATGTCTAAAGGTCCCCCATACCAGCTGGAACCAGAGACCCCTTGGGGACAGGACCAACACTGTGATTCTTGACCTGAGCCTGAGATTGGTGACAAAGTGAGGAAAGGAGCAGACTCATTAGCATCCACATAAAGGAGACACAGTCAGAGCTGAGTAATAACCCACGACTCAGGCTAATACCAAAGTGGAAGTTCTTCAAATTAACCCCTAATTTTCACTGCATCCGGAACGGCTACGAAAAGGCCATATCTGCCGATCGTAGCTGATCGTAACCATTCAAGTTAATGTGTCAATTTTCACCAGCTTCTTTCCATTCCACTACGGCTCTCCAGACTCTGCAGTTGATCGCAAGAGTTCTATTTTTTCCTGACACCGGAGCATGCCAGATAAATTCAGCACAGATTAACCTGTGCTGGAAAGGAAGTCGGGCACAGACACAAAATAAAACATCCGACTTCTTTTCAAAATAAAACACTCCGTGTTTCAGGCAGATCGTATTTCACACCATGCAAACGGGCGGAGACGAACAAGTGAAAGGTTTATAGACAGCATTTCACCCCATTGACACCATGGATGAGGAGGTGCTGATTTTAAAAGTCTAGGGGTGGATTTCCTCCTAGCCTCTGTGGCTAAGAGACAACTTGTTACCATGCGATTGCACGTGAATCCGCGGGTTCTTGTGAGTTTTGCGATTATTGCTGTCTCTAATCCACCACGAAATTTGTTTCACAAACGGATCCAGTAGGAATTGGTATACGGAAAAAATTGCTGCCTTTCTGGATCAGAGCCGGTCCAGATGTGGTGGAAATCCCGGGTAAGGGCCACCTCACCAAATACAGCCTAACATGGCACTTCACAACTCTGACTCTGACTCCCATCCAGAACAAAGACATGGGTAGAAATGCTCTCAACGAATGAGAGGAAATTTTTTGGCTTACAAACAAAGAGCTGTTCACTTTTTCTTTCCAGTGAGCCAGAGCTTAAAAGGCATCCAAGTGGCCCATTCCCAACCTTCAAGAGCTTTTGGCTCTACCTCTAAACAACTTCAGTTTTATCAAGCCTTTAAATGACCATTATGACTTGTCATTGGGAGCATAGATTTGAAGTAGTAGGTCCAAACTGCACCTTGAGGTCTGCAAAATAGGCTATTACCATCTATTGGCACGATGGAATGACTCGTTTTTACATCTGAATGAGGAGCATAGTGTTCTTAGTAAATATGACAGGAGCAAAGCAGACAACAAGCAGGGGAGTCAGTGTCTGGAGGTGGTTTGGGGGTGAGGGTTCTTGTCTACTGAGGGACACAGAGTCACAATTAAGCCATTGTTACCGATGCATGTTGTTATGCTCTTTAGTGGATGCACTGATTGATGCTCATCCTAAAGTAAAGGACACATGAAAGAATGTGACAATTAGTGGTTATATTCGTCATCCAGGATGTGTTTCGTTGTTTTCATTTGCCCAGGAAGCATAAATGAGCCAAAAGCTTTTGTTGAGGTGATGAGTACTGAGGTGTCTCCACAGACAAGAGCTCGAGAAGGATTTGATTTGAAAGGCTCTTTGGGGAGAACCTGAAGGACCATAAGTAGCTCTTGATCAGGGGTGGCTGCTTGGTCGCAGATCCACCTGAACTCTGATGAGATCTTTTCAAGAAGGCATGGCTGAAATTTGTCTGCTCTCAAAAACTCAAGAGAAGGCTTAAGTTTGAGGTAAAAAGGAGCACCTTTCAATTCTGGCTCTGATTATACCCACACAGTTTTAAAGGACAGCAGCACTGCTGTTAAAGTGAATAAATGACTCTGTTGCTGGACGCCAGCCTGTCATTTTAGCCTCATAACAGGGAGTCCAAATAGAGGAAGAGTTAACTCTGCAATAATTCATTGTCATTGGAGCTCCATGGAGGCTCTTGTCAGAATTTAAGACATGCTACCCACCTGAGGAATTCATGTTGTGACTCTAAAAACCGCCAAAAAAGAATTTTGCATCATTAAAAGCTGTTTATGAATGCAAACAAGTCTTAATTAGCTTGGACTTTTATTTTGCTAAATTGATGATAAAAACACACACCTGCTGAAATGGTGTTGGCAAAACTCTTCATCTCCTGCTGTCTCTCTCTCTCTCACACTCACACACACACACACTCACACTCCCCCACACTGGCTGTGACATGTGAGAGTAGAAAGGCCAGTGACACTGGTGGCTAATTAGTGACTCGCCTCATTAGTCGCCTCGTCTCCATCTCTGGCCCCTGCAATTATCTCTCTCAGGACCGCACCAAGGTTGAGCCTCCCGTCTTCATCTTTTTCTCGCACCCCCCTCCACCCCATCCCTCCCTGAATCCCCCTATCCCTGCTCAATCTATTTCCCCCTTCATTTAAGATACAAATGTGTGTGCCATGATCAGCATACCAAAATATCTTCGGTCTTTTCTCTCCAGCATTGTTTCATTTTTGACAATTTTATAAGTTGCAAAAGTATTTAAACTGTTGTTAATTCAAAAGTTTGGCGTCTTATGATGAAGCTAGGGTTAAGAACGATGTCAGTGTATTCGCTGCAGAGTCATTTTTTTGGCACAGCTACAATGATTCATCTTATTAAAAACCAGCATAGGTTGTGTATAGTGTTGTTAACAATATTTATGCTGCCCTTTTGGTCGGATTAACGAGGATTTCTGAGAAAACACTTTTTACTTTGATTTTATTTAGACCCTTGAGGTTAGTTGAGCGTATAAAAATACAATATATTAACATTTATATTCTGTAAAATGATGAAATTTAGTTTGTTAAAGGCCAGGGATACCAATGCCAGAAGGGTGGTCCACCATCATCTCACTAACGAGTTATCTGATTGACATTTGGCCTGCAGGATAAGGATAAACTTTAAATGACAAAGTGATAAATAAATATTGAGACATGCTTTACTGAAGGTAAAGCCACTCTATAGCCACAAATAATGCTCAGAACAGCACCTAACTTCATCAACAGTACATATAGGGTCCCATTTATAGCACTAGCTACCAAACATCTTTTTAGCTTTGCCTGATTTCTATAGCAAAGAGACTTAACACAACTCACCTACTCTCTTCCAGCAGCCGCTTGTTTGTAGCAAGACCTCCAGGCGAGTCCATCAACTGCTACGGGGTGACGCAGCTCAAGGAAGAACATTTATAATCATTACTTTATCATTTCCTTGAAGTAATAATCATCATAATAATCATTTTGCACTGCAGACATGGTAGTTCTTCTAGCTTAGTGTCTCGGTCTGATTGCATTTCAATGAAGAAATGATCATATGTGGTGCATGCTTGACCCTTCAGGTGGACTGGCATCCTAACCAGACTTTCTCCCCCTATATCTTTCTGCTGTTTAGCATGCTTTTTGTTGTATGTGTTAAGTTCTGTAGGTGAAGAGACAGACAGATAATACTCTTAAACAATGCTAAAATATTCCTCTACAGTCAAAATAATCATTGAAACTAGCTGCAGATGTGAAACTCTTAATTTTTCATCCCCTCCCCTGTGTATCTTGCCGTCTTCATTAAAACTCACAACCATGTTTTACTCAATTTTGTACCAAAGTACAAGTGGGAGAATATTTCAGCTGTCTGTTCCCTTCTCCCCCTCTCATGATCTGAGTAAATCTGAATTTTAAACTGGGCTAAATAGGCCCACAGGATGATCCAAGTCTCAGGTATTTGAGAGTCGTTTTATTTGGAAATCACTGTTTGCATATCTGGCCTCCCATCTGATCTTCTTCACCATTCACAGGCATACATAATTAGCTGACCCTGCTGCTCTGCATGCTTAGTGGTACAACAGGACCATCTCACACAGGGTTAGATTAGGTTAATGTGTTTAGGCAAGCCCGAGCCCAAGGTGACTACTAATGTCACAAACTCCCCCCCACAGGTGTTACACGGCAAAGTTGATGTAGTAATCAACACAACCTCTCCTTCCTGATGTTTGACTGTACCGCTTATCATGTCAAGTAGTAAGTCTTGTAGGGTTTTTTTTTCAGGTAGGCCTAATCTTATCCCAAGTTAAAGTCTTCATCAGTCACAGGTGCATGCTGGTGTGACGGTATTCCCAATGTTAAACAAAGAAATCTCACTTGTGGCGGTATATTACGAATTTCCTGAATGTTGCTGCCCCTGCTGTTGCAGATTTTTTTCCTGCCTGTGCACATCAAAAAGAAAACTGCTATGGCAAACATGGATGATGGCGGGGTGTTTGTTAGCTGTGGGAAGGCTGAAGACAGATCAAAGCTCCAGGTGCATTTGAGTCCAATCAAGAAATGAGACGCACCGCTGGCTCATGTCATGCAGAGTCAGGTGAAGCAATTTTTCTCACTGCTGGCTGTGTCACCACAGACTTCAACGTGTCTTTTCAAGAGTTTCTTGCTATAAGAAAAATACTTGATCAAAAACTACAGAAAGCCTTAAAATGATGAACAAACTGGAAAGGCAGCAGCTTTAGATGTGAGTGCCCTGATGTGACTGACTGGGCCACTGATCCTGCTGTCGACTTACAGAACATACAAAGAAGTAAAGGCTTGGGTCGCAGGTAAAACAAGGATAATAGACTGTTTATCTTGTGTAGCGAAGAAGCTACACACTGCAGTATGTGACAACATTCTTAGGGTGACCATACGTCCTCTTTTACCTCTTTTTTGGGGGCTGCCCGGCCTTGTCCGGGGAAGTTTATAAAATCCTTCAAATGTCTGCGGTTTTGTATGGAAATTTTTCGCGTTTGTGTCACGTGGACTTACAAAGTTAGAAGCATGTAAAAGACACTCGATCAAACCCGAAAAACTCTCAAAATTAACTTTGTGCGACTCCGTGACTCCATCCCTGCGTAGTTGTGTCGCCCTAAACATGCCCTCTTAGTTCCTTACTGTCTGGTCATTGCTCATTTAGGCATTACAAACAGGCTAATAGGATACACATGGAACAACACAATACCTATGTACGGTTTCTTTGTACGATAAGGCATTTTCATCTCTTTTTTTCAGTCTTACCTCCATTGTCAAGGTTT